TCCATGGTTTTGGTCAAAAAAAATTGGCCATTTTTCCATCTTTTTTTTTAAATAATATAGGGCAAGAAAATGTCTTTTACGATATTCTAGAACGAAAAAACGCCTTTCTAGGCTATAAAAACACGAAGTTGAAAAAGCCAAAAAATTGAGATTTTTCCAAAGGGGTTAGTCCATGGTTTTGGTCAAAAATTGGCCATTTTTCCATCTTTTTTTTAAAGATAATATAGGGCAAAAAAATGTCTTTTACGATATTCTAGAACGAAAAAACGCCTTCCTAGGCTATAAAAACACGAAGTTGAAAAGGTCAAAAAATTGAGATTTTTCGAAAGGGGTTAGTCCATGGTTTTGGTCAAAAATTGGCCATTTTTCCGTCTTTTTTTTAAAGATAATATAGGGCAAGAAAATGTCTTTTACGATATTCTAGAACGAAAAAACGCCTTTCTAGGCTATAGAAACACGAAGTTGAAAAAGCCAAAAAATTGAGATTTTTCCAAACGGGTTAGTCCATGGTTTTGGTCAAAAATTGGCCATTTTTCCATCTTTTTTTTAAAGATAATATAGGGCAAGAAAATGTCTTTTACGATATTCTAGAACGAAAATACGCCTTTCTAGGCTATAAAAACACGAAGTTGAAAAAGCCAAAAAATTGAGATTTTTCCAAAGGGGTTAGTCCATGGTTTTGGTCAAAAATTGCCCATTTTTCCATCTTTTTTTTTAAGATAATATAGGGCAAGAAAATGTCTTTTACGATATTCTAGAACGAAAATCGCCTCTCTAGGCTATAAAAACACCAAGTTGAAAAAGTCCAAAAATTGAGATTTTTCCAAAGGGGTTAGTCCATGGTTTTGGTTAAAAATTGGCCATTTTTCCATCTTTTTTTAAAAGAAAATATAGGGCAAAAAAATGTCTTTTACGATATTCTAGAACGAAAAAACGCCTTTCTAGGCTATAAAAACACGAAGTTGAAAAAGTCCAAAAATTGAGATTTTTCCAAAGGGGTTACTTCCTGGTTTTGGTCAAAAATTGGCCATTTTTCCATCTTTTCTTTAAAGATAATATAGGGCAAGAAAATGTCTTTTACGATATTCTAGAACGAAAAAACGCCTCTCTAGGCTATAAAAACACCAACTTGAAAAACTCCTAAAAACTCAGATTTTTCCGAAGGGGTTAGTCCATAGTTTTGGTCAAAAATTGGCCATTTTTCCATCTTTTTTTTAAAGATAATATAGGGCAAGAAAATGTCTTTTACGATATTTTAGAACAAAAAAACGCATTTCTAGGCTATAAAAACACGAAGTTGAAAAAGTCCTAAAATTGAGATTTTTCCAGAGGGGTTAGTCCATGGTTTTGGTCAAAAATTGGCCATTTTTCCATCTTTTTTTTAAAGATAATATAGGGCAAGAAAATGTCTTTTACGATATTCTAGAACGAAAAAACGCCTTTCTAGGCTATAAAAACACCAAGTTGAAAAAGTCCAAAAATTGAGATTTTTCCAAAGGGGTTAGTCCATGGTTTTGGTCAAAAATTGGCCATTTTTCCATCTTTTTTTTAAAGATAATATAGGGCAAGAAAATGTCTTTTACGATATTTTAGAACAAAAAAACGCATTTCTAGGCTATAAAAACACGAAGTTGAAAAAGTCCTAAAATTGAGATTTTTCCAGAGGGGTTAGTCCATGGTTTTGGTCAAAAATTGGCCATTTTTCCATCTTTTTTTTAAAGATAATATAGGGCAAGAAAATGTCTTTTACGATATTCTAGAACGAAAAAACGCCTTTCTAGGCTATAAAAACACCAAGTTGAAAAAGTCCAAAAATTGAGATTTTTCCAAAGGGGTTAGTCCATGGTTTTGGTCAAAAATTGGCCATTTTTCCATCTTTTTTTTAAAGATAATATAGGGCAAGAAAATGTCTTTTACGATATTCTAGAACGAAAAAACGCCTTTCTAGGCTATAAAAACACCAAGTTGAAAAGGTCCAAAAATTGAGATTTTTCCAAAGGGGTTAGTCCAGGGTTTTGGTCAAAAATTGGCCATTTTTCCATCTTTTTTTTAAAGATAATATAGGGCAAGAAAATGTCTTTTACGATATTCTAGAACGAAAAAACGCCTTTCTAGGCTATAAAAACACGAAGTTGAAAAAGCCAAAAAATTGAGATTTTTCCAAAGGGGTTAGTCCATGGTTTTGGTCAAAAATTGGCCATTTTTCCATCTTTTTTTTAAAGATAATATAGGGCAAGAAAATGTCTTTTACGATATTCTAGAACGAAAAAACGCCTTTCTAGGCTATAAAAACACGAAGTTGAAAAGGTCCAAAAATTGAGATTTTTCCAAAGGGGTTAGTTCCTGGTTTTGGTCAAAAATTGGCCATTTTTCCATCTTTTTTTTAAAGATAATATAGGGCAAGAAAATGTCTTTTACGATATTCTAGAACGCAAAAACGCCTTTCTAGGCTATAAAAACACGAAGTTGAAAAAGTCCAAAAATTGAGATTTTTCCAAAGGGGTTTGTCCATGGTTTTGGTAAAAAATTTGCAATTTTCCATCTTTTTTTTTAAAGATTATATAGGGCAAGAGAATGTCTTTTACGATATTCTAGAACGAAGAAACGCCTTTCTAGGCTATAAAAACACGAAGTTGAAAAAGTCGAAAAATTGAGATTTTTAAAATATTGGTCATTTTTGCACCTTTTTATTTCAGGGAATATAGGCCAGGAAAATGTTTTTTACGATATTCTAGAACAACGAAACGTCTTTCTAGGCTAGAAAAACAAGAAGTTGAAGGTTAGTTAATGGATTTGGTTGAAAATTTGGAATTTTTCCATACTTTAAATATAGGCAAAATAGCAGAGCAAAATGTGTTGGAGAATGTTCTAGAAAGAAAAAAAGCCTTTCCAGACTATAAAAAGAACAAGTTAAAAAAGTCTAAAATTTGGGATTCTTCCAAAGCGGTTAGTCCATGATTTTGGTCAAAAATTGGCAATTTTTCCATATTTTCAATACAGGCAAAATAGCCCAGCAAAATGTATTTGAAAGTATTGTAAAAAGAAAACAAGTCTTTCCAGACTATAAAAACAACAAGTTAAAAAAGTCGATAAAATTGCGATTTTTCCAAATTGGTTAGTCTATGGTTTTGCCCAACGTTTGTTTTCTATCTAGAAGATTATTTCTAGCCTTATTTTGACCAACAACAAATAAAGAAAAAAATGGAAGTTTTGGCCAAACCATGGGTTAACCCCTTTGAAAAGTGTGATTTTTGGGACTTCAAAGGAATGAAATTTTTATTGCCAAAAAAGGTTTCTTTTCTATCTAAAATATTATTAAACATTATTTCTACTCATATTTTGAGCGAAAGGAAAGAAAGAAACAAAATTCCATTTTTAGCTTTTTGGGACTTTGAAAGATGACATTAGTTTTCGCCAAAAAAAGATTTCTTTTCTATCTAGAGCATTATTAATCATTATTTTTTTTCTTTTGGGACTTTGAAAGATGGAATTTTTTCTCGCAATAAAAAAGGGTTACTCTTCTATCTAGAACATGATTTCTTGTGTCATTTTGACGGAGAACAAATAGAGAAAAAAATTGCATTTTTTGACTAAAACAAGGGTAAACGCCTTTTGAAAATGATAATTTTGGGACTTTATTATCAAAAATGCTTTTTTGCAACCAAGATCATTATCAAACACTAATTCTTGTGGTATTTTCAGGAGGAATAAATAAAGAAAAATAAAAAAATTCAAATTCTGCTACAAGAACTATGGGTTTACGCCTTTGGAAAAATGGGATTTTTCAGACATAAAAAATTGTTTTGTTTACAGTCTAAAAAGCATTTTTTTATCTACAGCATCATCAAGCACTATTCGTTGTCGTATTTTCACCAAAAACAAATAAAGAAAAATTTGAATTTTTGGATCAAAATCATGGGTTAACCCCTTTGGAAAAATATAACTTTTTATACTTTGAAAAATTGTTGTTCTCTGTTCCGTGTGTGTCCCCGGGGGCGTTCCGAACGTAATGCAGGTTGTCCAAAGGTTGTCTGTTATTCTCGCCAAATAACCAGCCCAATACCATTTGAGTTTGATTATCATTTCCATGATATCTCGTACTTTGTTTTTTTTTGCTCGGATCTATTGGACTGTTTTGTAATCCCGCCATGTGATGTTTAGCATGATTCCCTCACGCTCTCTCTGCAAAGTTCGGAGCTTAAAGGTTTGTTATTTCGTAACATTACAGGTCTCACATGCATAGTTGACTGTTGGTAAGATCAATGCTCTCGCGCGAGAACGTGTGAATGTGTACTACACAACAAATGTATGTTGTGGTTCAAATTTATCCTTGGTTTCACTGATTATCATACAGGACCACCGATACCCAACAACAAAGGAAAATAGAATTTAAACCAAGGATAAAATTGAACCAAAACATGAACACCCAAGAAGGATAACACTTTTATTTAATTTTCTTAAGTAATGCACAAAGTTCTAACTGTCAAATAATGGTTATTTTAAATTTTGACTGTACTACGCAGCAACAGACTTAGTGTGTAAGCAAAGGAGGGTTTGGACAAAACCATCTCTGCGAAGTACGTAGAGCAACTAGTAATCTGCGACAAACTATTTAAAAGTCAAGTATTAAAGGGCATAAGCCTGACTGGAGGTGTACAACATTGCAATTCTAAAGCTAATCTTTGGTTAGCTAAACTCACGAAGCAAGACTCTGGGAAATCTAGCAGAGCTGAGCTACCGCTTACAAATTAAATACAAGCGGTCAGACGGAGGCCAGAAAAAACCTGCCCATAAAACCCCGAGGGGAAAAAAGCGGACAGGAAATCTGGATAGGAACCAAGGCTCAAGCTCCAAAGTCCTTCCTACGGGACTTTTACATGGCAAACGAGAAACGACCAACTGAAACGAAGGTTGGTTTTGAAGGCTAGTCGAACAAGCCATGATAAGCGCTTCACCTTTTATGATCCTCTATTTCACGAAATGGTGTCTGTAAAAGTGACTTAATCTTGATCGTACATCTGCTGAAATGGTTTTAAAGAGGAGATAGATGCCAGCAGCATTTCAATCAGTTCAACATTCAGTGCTCTGTTCTTACAATCCATTATTTTTTTCCCAGAACAACAATTCACATTTCCGCTTCTCTGTAAGGCACGACACTTTATTGGGGCTCTAGGTTCTCTTCCTCTGATAAGCTGTTAATTATGAAAAAGAAATTTAAAATTCTCCGTCAATTTATCAGATGTAAATGAATCATTTTTCAGTAATAGGAGACGCATGTTTTGCGCACAGGATTATGGGATCGCCACGGGGCAAAAATTGCGAGTCGCTACAAAGAAATGTATGACGTGAAGTTGTTTCTCCGTTAAAAAGAAGTGTCTTTGGGCATAGAATGTTGTTGAAGTCCAAAAAACATCTTGATGAGATATGGCCTCTCATAAAAAGCCAGCCGTTGCTAAGGGAAATCGTGATAGAATATATTATAGAAGACCTATCTAAAAAAGAATTCATTATGTAATATGCTCATACCAGCCAAACTATAAAACTCGAAGATACAACAGTTCAACCAAAAGCAGCCGTCTGTGGTCAGTCAGGATTCAGGATTCCAAATCTCCACCTAATAGTTTTAGCTCCAATTATGCACATCCTCCCTTTGACCTGGAAAGACTGAATAAAAGCCGATCTAAAACAACAACACTAGAGACAATGAAGGAAAAAGGCTAGAAATCTGGGAATAGAATGTGCTCAACCATCACCTGTAGAAATAAAAAGAAACTACAAAGTTAGAATAAGTTTTTGCGTTGGAAAGAATCTCAATGAGAGGGGTATCGTATGGTTATTATATCTCCAGTATGAGTTTCCAATTTGAAAAGTACCGAAATTGGAGTGGTATCCTTACGTTTCTCTGTTCCCTGATTTATTGTGTAAATTCGGTTTGAGTGTCAGCGGTTTACGCAAAATACGTCTCAACGCCTATACACCCCGTCGAATTTCCACAAAAAATCAGTTTCCAAACAAACCACGATTCCCGTTGTCCACGTTAATAATTTTGGATTGGTATCCCTACGTTTCTCTGTTCCCTGATTTATTGTGTAAATTCGGTTGAAGTGTCAGCGGTTTACGCAAAATACGTCTCAACGCCTATACACCCCGTCGAATTTCCACAAAAAATCAGTTCCCAAACAAACCACGATTCCCGTTGTCCACGTTAATAATTTTGGTTTGGTATCCCTACGTTTCTCTGTTCCCTGATTTATTGTGTAAATTCGGTTGAAGTGTCAGCGGTTTACGCAAAATACGTCTCAACGCCTATACACCCCGTCGAATTTCCACAAAAAATCAGTTCTCAAAGAAACCAGGATTCCCATTGTCCGCTCTGATAATTTTAGACCGGAGTAATGTGGACCTTCTTCTCTTTAAAAAAGAAAGCGGAAAAAATAGAATCATGGTCGATAGAGTTTGCTTGGCAATCCCAAAGCGTGCTACCATCACCTGTAGAGATAGGAAGAAACTAAGAAGTTAGCATAAGGTTCCAATTTGAAAAGTACCCGAATTAGCGTGGTATCCCTACGTTTCTCTGTTCCCTGATTTATTGTGTAAATTCGGTTGAAGTGTCAGCGGTTTACGCAAAATACGTCTCAACGCCTATACACCCCGTCGAATTTCCACAAAAAATCAGTTCCCAAACAAACCAGGATTCCCATTGTCCGCGTTGATAATTTTAGTTTGGTATCCCTACGTTTCTCTGTTCCCTGATTTATTGTGTAAATTCGGTTGAAGTGTCAGCGGTTTACGCAAAATACGTCTCAACGCCTATACACCCCGTCGAATTTCCACAAAAAATCAGTTTCCAAACAAACCACGATTCCCGTTGTCCACGTTAATAATTTTGGATTGGTATCCCTACGTTTCTCTGTTCCCTGATTTATTGTGTAAATTCGGTTGAAGTGTCAGCGGTTTACGCAAAATACGTCTCAACGCCTATACACCCCGTCGAATTTCCACAAAAAATCAGTTCCCAAAGAAACCAGGATTCCCATTGTCCGCTCTGATAATTTTAGATCGGAGTAATGTGGACCTCCTTCTCTTTAAAAAAGAAAGCGGAAAAAAATAGAGTTTGCTTGGCAATCCCAAAGCGTGTTACCATCACCTGTAGAGATAGGAAGAAACTAAGAAGTTAGCATAAGGTTCCAATTTGTAAAGTACCTGAATTAGCGTGGTATCCCTACGTTTCTCCCTGTTTATTGTGTAAATTCGGTTTGAGATTTTACGCAAAATACGTCTCAACGCCTATACACCCCGTCGAAATTCAGTTCCCAAACAAACCACGATTCCCGTTGTCCACGTTAATAATTTTGGATTGGTATCCCTACGTTTCTCTGTTCCCTGATTTATTGTGTAAATTCAAAGTGTCAGCGTCGTCTCAACGCCTATACACCCCGTCGAATTTCCACAAAAAATCAGTTCCCAAACAAACCACGATTCCCGTTGTCCACGTTAATAATTTTAGTTTGGTATCCTTACGTTTCTCTGTTCCCTGATTTATTGTGTAAATTCAGTTGAAGTGTCAGCGGTTTACGCAAAATACGTCTCAACGCCTATACACTGACCCCGTCGAATTTCCACAAAAAATCAGTTCCCAAACAAACCAGGATTCCCATTGTCCGCGTTGATAATTTTAGTTTGGTATCCCTACGTTTCTCTGTTCCCTGATTCATTGTGTTCATTGATTCATTGATGCAAAAGAGAGAGTTTCCAGATTTTAGATTTCCAGGGGTTGGCATCTCTGCGGCCAGTGTGGTGCCTTGGTTGATGGCTTCTTGCAAAGTTCCTATGGATATGTAAGTTGTAATTAATTTTTATCTCAGGTAATTTGTATTTTTCTTTTATTTTAACTTCATTAGCAATACATTAAAATTCCACCCCCACCAAAAAAAAATTACCTGAGATAAAATATTACCTATAACATATACATAAATTAGTCTACATGTTTTTAACTGAGTGTTTATCATATAGTGAATTGTTTAACATTTGCATCATGCATTCTGCTTGGTACATGTATCAAGGCATCAACAGCAAATTTGTTTTGAAGATAGCATTATCTAGTAGCAGCCTCGGGGGGTCTTGCAATGTTACCTACCTCTTCAGCTGATTAAGGCAAGCTTTCGGTTCAAGTTTTCATGCCCCCAGGTGGCCTCTGAGGATTACAATGAGTGCCTCATGTTCAATTTGCCTTGCACAGATATTTTTCTGAAAAATTAAATGTGTTTTATTACGATCAGACTATAATTTCTACTTACACTGTGGTTATCTGTGTTTGCTTACAATGACTAAGAGTACTAATTAACAATTATTCCTTGAGCCCGAATGGGCTCTGAGTCAATAGCCCATGAGGCCAAAGGCCTCATGGGCTATTGACTCAGGGGTCATGAGGGTGAGAGGAATAATTGTTTTAGTAAAATCCAACTAGCTGGTCAAAAATATCGAGAATAAAAAAATTCTAGCTGCTTAAAGCTAGACTTTAATCCTTTGTTGCCCCCCAAAAGCCGGCGCTTTTTGCTACTAGTGGGCCTAAAGGCTCGGGAAATTACTAGGATTTGGACAAAACATGCGTGAAATTATTCCCTAATTTCACTCGTCACCATTTGATTACACATACAAATATCACATACAAATTGTGCTATTATTTGTTTTTCCCGGCTGGAATTTTTCCAAGTAATCATGCTTGCCAGGTAGCCCGGTGAATGAACCAAGCGAGGAACATGCACACTGCTTCTAATCTCTATATAAAGCTGGTCACTCTGGGCTGGCCCTTTTCAAGCAATACTGGGATAAAAGTCACCTCAGCAGAGCTCTCCAGTCCAGCTCATGTGTTCAGGCCCCTAATTTAAGTTGCATTGTAACGCAGTTTGCATGTGAAAGCTTTGGAATCTACTGCTTTTGTGGTTCGTGTATGAGAGAAATCGACTTGATCTAATTAACCCACAAGGGTTTTAAAAATAACTGTCATGCAAGCAGTTTGCACGTGAAGAAGATTCATGAAGAACCAAAAAAGGTTATTGTTTTCTCAGTAAGATTTTAAGAAATCACCTCTTTCCCAACATATGCAATGAAATTATGCATCACTCAATTTTACAAGTAACAGGCAAATGTCTGCTAGCTCCAAAAAAAATTATCAAACTGCCGAAATACTTTATGCGTGGCGACTCATTCCATCCTCATTTCCACCATTGAAACAATCCCACATTCATCTCATGCACGATCACGGAATTTTCCATCATTGCATGACATCTTCTTTGACTCTTAACAACTGGGGCAAAAATACTGTCAAACTCTTGGCTATAAGCCAAACCCATCAATTCCAAAGTAAGATTTAATTCAGTGTTTAATACTACCAACGATTCAAAAATATTCATTACTTCTAAAACTCAAACAACACAAAACAATTGCGAATGGCTACAAATACCCAAAAAATTGACCTGGCTAAATGATAACATCATATCAAAAAACAGAGCTATTTCCTGTAATATGATATTTGATATGTCATTCCTCATGAACACATTTTTATAAACACCTGACAGAAAGCACGAAAATGGCTTAAACTCTCAGGTGTGATCCAGTCCTGTTTTAAATTCCAAATATTTTTGACAGATTTAATCCCTGGATTTAATACTTCTAAATATCTGAAAAAACCGCCCATAACAGAAAAGGTAAGGTTCAGATAAAGTTCATCTTTTCCTCCGCATCGACAATTATCCCTGCGTTGCTTCAACATGTTCATCGCTTTTAATTCCTTTGTCCACACACTGTTGGGAATTGCTTTTCTTTGTTGCAAGGTTTTTGAGATTGTAAAAGTGGGATCAAATATGTACCCTGTTAGCAGAGCTTTCTTTCCGGTATGCTTTTTATCTTGTATGAGACATTCGTGTCGCTTGGCTTGTTTACATTCAAATGTATTGCATGCCTATTGCAACTTTGAATCCACACAAGTGATCTTGATTACTTTATTTGGACGACGTGCAAATAATAATTAATGTTCTTTCTCGTTCATTATATTAAAAGTCTTCGAAAATAAGAAAGGTATAATTAAAATTCTAGTTTATAGTTTTTTTTATTGATATTATTCAGATGGAAGTGATTTTTGCAACAATTATAACAGGAAGCTGGGGGCGATTTGCGTAGGGTGCCTCATGCGTTTTGATCAAATTCAGATTTCCCATAAATATGGTATTGGCAGCTTAGAAATGTAAAATAAACTATAAATACAATTTTGGTGTTGTCCCGGGATGGGACATTTGTACCCCATTTTTAACCCCCATTGTGGGGCATTTGCAGCTTTTCCAAAACAAGATGACCAATACTCGACAAATGCCTGTGGGGGGGGTTGGGGAGTTGGAATTGACTGAGCCATTAATAAAGAATGTAATTTTGCCAGGAAAGTTGTCTATTTTGTGATGATATATAATATCTAAACAAAACAGCCCGAAAATCGTTCGAAAATATAGAGCAACTAGGAATTTTCTACAAATTTATTTTCGGACGCTGTTACATAATGCTAATGAGATTAAAGATAACTAGCATAATGATTCAACACTCATGATTTCCTGTTTACCTTCAGAAGACACTTTATTTTTTTAGTTTTTCACCCAAAGATCGCGTTAAAAACAAGCATATATGAATTTACAGATAGAATTCATCAAAATAAGGAAGGCTTTGAAGGCAAAAAGCTAAGCGGGAAGGAATTCGTCGCGTTTGAAGAGTATCAGAGAGTACTGTGTGGCAGACATAGCCGGCTCGGCGATTCTTGCTATTTTCTTACCTGGATTTTCGCGTTCATCTTGCTTGTTATCCTCCAGAATCCTTTAAAATAATTTGCTTGACTTGTATTTGGTCAAAATGCGTCGATACAAGCCTTCATGGTCATTCTTCGCAAACCCCGCAACAAAATCATTGCCGCATTTCAAAAACATGGTTCCGTTACGCTAATAACCGACCGGAGACTGGAACTAGCCACATAATTGGGCAAAATTTGTTGGCCAAATTTGGAGTAACGCAAACAGTGAAAACAAATCAAAGTAGACAGACTGCAAATTATCTTAGTTGCTAAAAAATATATATCTACGTGTCGCAACTGTTCATCAGTAGGATGCCTAAAATGCGTGCAATTCCACAATTGGTTTCGGCTCCATTAAATCCTATACCAATTGCAGAACATTTTAGGAGGAGCCACCCACCATGTGAGCACAGTCACGGACAATGTACAAGTGAGGAAAATAACGCAAAGTAAAATTAAGACGTTAATAAACGAACTAAATGTACACGTCAATTAAATTGCGAATTTTTTTTCGTTAAAGGTCCTGAAGCTCCTAGTGAGTCTCGATGCTTACACAAGCAAGACTAAATATGATTTGTAATGCAGCGAAGAAATAATTATGTCACCGCAAACTGCATCATGTCCAGATGTGAAGTATTTTAGAGTTCTTCCTGATCAATTTCTTACGGATGATATCATTGATTCGGGTGCAGGAGGCAGACTCTAGCATTAAATATTGTTTTCTCACACTCAGAGAGGATACCAGTTTCTTTTTCTTGATTATTTCATTATTTTTCGTTTTTCTTTTGTTATTTTACGTTATTATTAATTTTTACAAAAATTATTTTATTATACTTTTTTTCATGAAAATTATTTTTATTTTTTCATGTTCCGGGATGTTCCGGGATGTTCCGGAATGTTCCGGCATGTTCCGTGTTCCAGGTTTTATCGACGCCCTTAAACTCGCGCGTATATAAAGGAAAGTACTTATAGTTGAAATATATAGCCAGTATGTCAGAAAAAAATCTCGATTTGCTTGAACAGGGGCCACGAGGAATTGGTGGGTAATGATGACGTTTCTATTGTTCGCGCCCGCAAGTAGGGAAGGGTACAAAGAGAAAAAGCCTTTTCAGACTATAAAAACAAGAAGTTAAAAAACTCGAAAGGGTTAGTCTATCGATTTCTTCACAAATCTGCAATTTTTCCATTTTTATAGGCAAAATAGGCCAGGAAAATGTGTTTGAGAATATTTTCAAATTTACAGGTCAATTTTTTTTACATGAAATATGCAACTCGCCTTCAAAGACATTCACGACGATCGTTCTATCGTTTCTAATTAACATTATAACTTCCAGTTACATATGACAGGAAGTATCAAGAAAACTGATAAATCTGATACAAAAACAATATATTTATTGTAGTTCTGTATGATAAGATGATTTGCAATCGTAAAACTTAAGCCACTATCATCGATATTGCTCCTCAGGCAACTCTTTTCTTGTTTAGGTAATTTGATTATTCTTCTATAACAGAGTTTATTCACAACAAGTCATGCCTTTCCATTTTCTCAAGGACAATACAATACAATTTGGCCTTTTTTACATAGAAATAAAGACATTAACTTAAAAAGCATTTTCATCCACCAGGCACACTATATTTCTGAGTGCATTTCTGGAAATTTTGGAAATCAACGAACCGCATCCCGCAGTACAACGTGAAACGATTATAAGGCATTGGCTGGTAGTTCGTCTCTCGCGAGAAAGCATATCCCTTCCAGAATGTATCGCTTGTCTGGTTAATTAGCTGCTCGTTCAGTTCGTAGATTCGCTCTGAATCGATTAGAGTGTTTTTCGAAGGATACTTTTTGCTGAAGGTGTAGTCCACTTGCCACACTGGATTTGAGAATTCTGAAGGATAGCAAATTTTACAAATGATTATGATCAGTTTGGAGAATTTGTATGTGCATATCAGAGCTTAAGGGGTAAAGCGGCTCGCAGTGGAGTCTGGCTTAAAGAGAGTTAGCTGTAATACATCCTCCACGATCTGCATAATCCTTCATATCATACTCAGTGCTATCCAATAATTGCTTAATGTCATTCACGGTGAAATGTGTATGACAGGCTCGTTCATTGTTTCACAATAGTAACTTGTTCATAACAATGATAGCCAAGTTTGAAGCTGCAAGAAGAGGTCAGTTTACTGAGTTGTATTTAAGAAAAATGCCACAAATCACATGAATGCCAATCTTTTCAAGAAGATGAAAAAAGTGCAAAGCCGCGCGGATACAAAGAAAGATTTCTACTCTAGAAAAATCTTTATTAACTTTATTAAATCAAAACTCACGTGTAGCCATGACTAGATCCATGTAGTACTGGGTGTAATCTGCTAGCGACTGTTGATCTGTGTCAAGAGAGACCAATCTGAAAGCCGGATTGTTGTGGTAAACAGGGGAGATAGCGGGAGCAAGTAGAACAAAGGACTTTGCTGTGATACTGGTCTCTGGTTCAAACATTTGGAGACGAAAGTCATCTTTATGCGAATGGGCAAAGAACTGACCTAGACGAAACAGAAGGAAATGTTGTCATTTACAGAACGAAGTATGAAAACACTTAAATGCTACAGTTCATTTGCGAACTTCACCGTGAAACTGAGGTGTTCACACCTGGTCAATAAGGCTATGTCCAGTTTAAGTTATAATGGATAGAAATCGTTCTTCAAAGGCACCCAACGACAATTTTCGGGAAAATATCTGTTCGGAAGACGATTTGAGATCTAGAATTTTCGGAACATTTGTTGTAAAATTTCTTGCTTGCTTGCCTCTCCTAGGATTTTCGAACATCTAAAAAAAGGTAAAATTGCCCATCTTCAACGGATTTTTACCCTAAAAAGGTCACCTAGAATTTTCGGGAGCCTTTTTTCTGGCTGAAATTTTCGAACAGGTAAGTTTTGATCCCTATAATTTTCGGATGACTAGACTTTCAGCTAGGAAATCCGAACAGATGAAAAATTTATAGGGGATAAAAATATGCCCACATCCACCGTTTAAATACTAAAACACGTTTAGCAATGCTATGCTTAAGTGGTTTTGAACTTTATTCTCGTTGGGTGCCCCTGGTTCTTAAATAGACAATCGTAAAGTTGAAGGTTTGCATTTGTTTCCAAACATAAATGGAAAACAGCATCTATCAGCTACATACCAATTACTACATCACTGTAGTTCTTTGCCACAAGTCGCACGTAGATTTCAGTATAATTATTGAACCAGTAAGGCTTGCTGCTAAATGTGTCGATACTAATAAAAAAGAGAAAAAAAAAAGAAGATCATCATCAACAAGGGATTCACTCTTTGGGGAAGTTAAAGGGACAGGTTCACAGTTCAGAACGTGCTCGTTAACCAAAATACTATTTTTCTGCCGGGACATGCTGTATCATCTACGAAAGCAATATGATCATGTCATAATGCTGTCAAAGAACCAATCTGCACACTCCCCTGGAAGTCACTTGATCAACTCAGGTGCAAACAGCTCCATTAATTTTTCTGCAATTTTAGTACTCCTCCATCCTACTTCAGGTTACTCTGAAATACACTTCTTCTTTGAAATACACTCTCAGATCGCTGGGATACATTTGAGTGGGATTATTAACTGATAGAATTAATAATAAATTAGAAAAATGTGCTGAACCATGAACCTGTCCCTTTAAAATAGCAACGAGCAGAAATATGCCATAAAAATATCCCGGCATCAGTTCAAGAGTATCTCACCCTGCAGGGATGTGGCTGGCCAACATGGCTTTTTGTCCATGACTCTTAACAAGTTTTAATTGATTTTCCAGCCAAACCAATTGCCTGGAAGCCTTCTGATCGGTTTCCACACTTCGATTTACCGCTGCTGACCAATAAAGGCTGTTCAATACTAGCAGGACCACTTTTCCATCTAGAAAAAAGAAAATACATTGAGAAGGTAAACATCACTGGTGACAGGTCTCTGTCAGTCACCGTCATATAAAAATATCAAGTGGCCGTTATGTAATTAAAAGCAAATGCATGTGTGTTTAAACACCAGAACAACTCTTCTTCTTGGCATCAAAATGTTATTTGAGCTTTTTGTTTTATTTTACCATTTGACATTTTCCAGGGAGCCGCGGGCAATTAGGGGGGATCAGGGCAATTGCATAGAATAACAAGATAGAATCACGCCCATTAGAAAAATAAGGAAAGGTGGGGTGTTCTGGGCCGAACCTGAAACAGTAGATTGTCTCGACCCTACGTGAGACAAGACTTGTAATGTAATGACCTTACCCAGGACATTCTGTTGCTTTAGTATTATGCGGTATAATATCATGTGCTTTTTGCTCTCAAAGAAAATTGAAGTCTGAAGTCTGTAAGATTTATTCGCAATGGAATATTAAAGTTGTTGTTGAATTGCTATCAAGAGGAGAAGTTGTTTTGGAGTTCGAACTGAACATGGGATACCCTTGAGGTTGGGTTTCAAAGGTAACTGTCATTTTGGCCATGTAAAATAAATTCTCACACTTTTTTAATTGTCAGTGACAATGTAACTAAAAATGAAGCAAGACGCGGGTGCAGAGAAGAAAGAGAATCTCTTGATTAGCACTCTCTCAGTAAAATTTTAAACTGTCTTATTTGCATTTTCCCAAGTGACATTTTTCAACGGTCCCAATTCTCTCAAGTTTTAAAAATGGTTGGGGATTTTAACAGATAGAATGAATACCCCAAACAAACAATTTTTTTAAGGAATACTCAGGTGCAGCAAACCACACCCTGCACCACCACCACACCCATGAGTAAAGGGTAATGGTATCCTCCATTGCATTCCCCACTTTCTTGCTAAAGGTGATTTTCACTCTCGGTTATATGAACACACACAAATATAATGATAATCTTGGTATTGCACTGATTACCTACAATGCTTGCACTTTAAGGTCAGTATGAGTGAAAATTACCTTTAATGCCAGTACTGCACCTTTTAGTGGAAGTGATTTTCAATGCATACAGCACCTTTTTGTGAGCGGTGATTTTTTATGAACACATGACATGCTAAAAATTAATGATAATCTTGGTATGGCACTGGTTACCTGCAATGCTTGCATTATAGTATCCACCCTCTAAAAAGCTTTCCTGCAAAATAGCTTGGGTTGTAGGCTTCTTTACACTGCCAGGGCACTCAGAGCACATTATAAGTGATTCCCAAGAAGACAGCACCTTTTGATACCAGTCGTCACCAGCCTTAGGTAAAACATAGTGGCCTGGGAGATCATTATTTCCAATCATTGGAAAAATGGGAATCTTTGGAAATCTTGAATGCATCTGTTTACTGACTGTGGCAATGTTGTCCAGCACTCGCTGAGGGCCAGCATAGCTTGTCCACATTCCATGACCTGAGAAGTCTCCTAATGTCAACAACAAAATAATAATATTAAGACCGTACATATTCTCTGATACCTCCGTGCAGTTGTCAAGGTCTTCATCTTGTAATTTTAAATAGTGTCCTTGATCATCATCAATACAATATCTCTAAAGAATTATACCCCCATCAGATCAAGTGTCCCTTCTGAACAGTAAAAAAAATCTTTTAACTCACTTCTCTAATATGCTCCACCCTAAGCTTTATCGCCATGATTTCATTTTTTATTCTAACAATCACTTTCCAGCTTAAAGCAGAAAAATGTGACCATCAGTGTTCGGTGGCAAGCTTCACTGGTTGACTTAACTGTATATCCATTTTTATTATCACCATGTAATATTTACTCATGGCTGTCAACCCCCCACATCTTCAAATACTGAGAATAAAATTATAGGAAAGGGATGATAAATGACATCATATGTGACATCACATGATGTCATTTGTGCAAAAAATACTTGCTGACTCCGATTGTCACCGAATTTGTGATGACACAAAACACGCGAAAACCAATCAGATTATTATATATCAATGGCATACTGGAGTTGATAAGGAAATGTTCTATGTTAACATTAATATTAAACTAGCTCAAACGACCCAAAATAGTTGAAATTTTATTGTCGGAAAGTCAAGTCTTCTGAAGAAATGGTATACTTCAGTGATTATCCAGGAGATTTCATTCTCTGATCTGGAGAGCGGGAGATAATAGTCCAAAATCTGGATTCTCCCGGATTAACTGGGAGAGTTGGCAGCACTGCACGTTTACTGATCTTTACAATTCTAGTTGTGTATTTTCTAAACTTCAGTAGATTTTATCATGTTTTATATATATTTATATGCAATAATAATTGGCTGCACATGAATTAATATCAGCGACACTGTATAGCTGATTCATTTCTGCAGGCTAAATAAAGTGTTTACTTTACTTAACAAATTGTTTTATTTTTTGTGAGAAAGTCCAAGTAAGCAACTGCCCTGTAAACAATCAAGAGTCTGAATCTGAAACACGTTTCCAGAATATTCAGAGAATTAAAATCTGCCTACCTGTCATCAAGATAAATGCAATGTCTTCCTCTTGACTGACATTTTTCATAGCATCTAAGGAATTTTCCACCAGTGTTGCTGGGGAGTCACATCCAATCCTTCCATATTCAGCAACGTACTTTGCCGTGCTATTTGATACCTGTTGTCGGCAGAAGGAGCTGCTTGAAATCATCTTGTTATAAAATGGATCATAATGAACGTCTGATAAGTGGATAAACTTGATAAGGTTGATATCACTTGTTGTCTCTGCAGCTTCATTTTTAGAGGACTCACTTGTGGACCAACTTTTACGACGTCCGCTTTCATAAGTCACAATTAAAACCACGATTAATATACAGCAAATTAATGTCATGAGACCAATCAAGCATCTTGCTTGTAAAGTTTTCTTCTTCCATCGTTTGTGTTCAACCAAGTAATAGTGCAAATTCTCTTGATGACTTGGAGAGTCTAAATCATCTCCTGGCAGGATATGCCTGGTGGAACCATCCATGACATATATAGTGGCTCTGTATGTAAAAATCAGATGAAATCGAGTCAGAAACAGTTTTATTGTTATATCTCATGTCGGTGACTTTTATGTAACGGCAAAAAATTCAGGACAACAATGACAATTAATTGATGAGAGCACAGGCTTACCAACCTTCTTTTTTTGAGGAGTTAACTAAATGACACAAGTAATAGCCTGCATAACAGGCGCTTTATGAGCCAAGCGAGGCAAACGCAGTATTTTGCGCAAAGCGAGAAACAAGTGCGAAGCGCAAGACAAGGGGACGAGAAAAATAAACCGCCTGTTGCCAGTCTATTGTTCTGGCTCTTCTGCCCACCTACGCTCACAAGTATTGACTGACGGTGGTGATGTCAAAAGGACCAATCAAAACACAACCTATTACTCAAAAATTGTCACCTTTCGGGCTACCAGGAACACTGACAGCACCATAAAACACAGGAAATTACTGTGAGGGCAAAAGCTTATGAGTCGCGTTTGGCCTATCAACACTTAATTTAAAAAAGTTAGTAAATCAGGCTTTTTCCTAGCCTAGATGGAAGCAATCCAAGAATATCTTTCCTCTTAAGCAATAAATTTAAACATTTCTTTTGTTTTTTTTTTTTTAATTTCTGGAAAATTTGGAAATAGGTGAAAGGTGTCTCGAAAAGCATCGTCAAAAGAACATGAATGTGTGACAGTTATTTTGTTCCAGACAAACAAGCCAGAACAACGCGTCATTAATGACCAATTGGAATGCAATGTTCATGTAGTGAATGTGGGAAGAGCTAAAACAATGGACTGGTAACAGGCGCTTCATTTTTCACCTCCCCTCGTCTCACACTTTGCACTCCTTTTGTGCACAGTGTTCGCCTTGCTTGGCTTATAAAGCGCCTGTAATGCAGGCTACACAAGTAATCAGTCATCAAGCTTTGAACAGTAATGACAGATGCATGGGTACTGCTTCTCCTTTGGATCAAAATCTAATCTCATTACTCAAAACCATGATCAAGTATATTTTAATGTTGTAGTTATCCATTTTTCTCTCCAATTTTAGATTTCTGAAAGCATTATTTTATATTTGACACAACACCTCATTTTTATGGGCAACCCACTTAATATGAGCAGTACCCTGTTAATACGGACACTTCCTTTGGCCCCCTCAGCATGGCTGTGCTCTAGCAGAGCCTGCTGGCCCCTGGCGCCTAACTTTTGCTCTCAGGTGACTAGAAAATCTTAGTTTTTTTCAGACAAATCATATGCTGGGCAACCCTACAACCCTGGTCAAAACTCTTGGGACACTAATGCAATAGCATGTCAAATTGAGGCATCTTCCCTGCCCCCTTTATTCAAGTTTTAATTCAACACAATCAACACTGCTTGGGGGAGAGGGGGACAACAGAAATAGCCCCTTATAGCAACATCCCCAAGCTTTTTTAAGAGGTAGAATATGAGTAGAATATGAGTAGCATTCGCGTGTTGGGGTCAAAATTTGGAATGGGATACCTCAAATTCTTAAAGAAAGACCGAAAAAAGCTTTTAAAAGATCACTAAAAAAATGCTACTCGATATCCTTGAAACTGAAGACTCCTATATTGATGTGGATACGATCATTGTGAAAATGAAAAAGTAATTCTCTTGTCCTTTATTTTCATTTTATTTAATTTTTAAAACTTCACTTTAATATTGTCCTTGCATTTAAGTAGAATAGTATCTATTTAATGTAAAATATATATAATTATATAACATCTAATTTCTTTGTATTTGTCTAGTTTGTAGTATAGTACATTATGTAGCTTGGCCTGCCTCGAATAACCTCGCTAACTGCAGGCCAGTCCCAATGTATCTTTTGTTATATTTCGAAATTTAAATAAAAGTTGAAGTTGAAGTTGAAGTTGATTTAGCAAAGTGCGTCTTTGTGCCTAATTTCCTCAAGTGTCCCAAGACGTTTTGACCAGGGTTGTAGATTTTACAAGTCCAGAGGCGGAGCACTGGGATCCCTTCAATTTTCCTTTAAGAGCACAGCCTTGCTCAGTGTCCATATTAACGAGATTTGACTGCAATTTTATAACAAAAGTCTGAATGTTTCTGAGCACTTTCTTAACCCTTTAAGCCCCAATTTCCACAAGCCAATTCTCCAAACTGATCTCTATACATTTCTTTAAAAAATAAGTTGAGAGAATTTGAGAAAAGATCACAGCACTTTCTCTTTGGTGATCATTTAATTAATTCTCATAACCTAATCTCCTGACATTGTATGGATATCGTTAGGAGAAAATTGATGTTGGTCACAATTGAGACTAAAGAGTTAATGCTTTCATTTGATAATTTCAGTTAGTATTACGTGACATATCACTTTTTTAAAACTTAATATTGATAAAACACAGTAACCTTCACACAAACTGACAAGTAGTCAGATTAACAAAAGGCAACACCACAACAGTGACGGCAGTCCTGGCAGTTCTAAAACCAGGCTTGACCAATGGAAGAGCGGTCAACTGATCACCGGAAGTGGCCTTCAGTCCTTTGCGTTTGACTTGAGGCTGTGTTGTCCTTGCTAAACTCTGCCTAATGCTAATGGTATGCCTGTGGTGGGAACACAGTCGCCCTGATTGGGGACCCCTAAGGGATTTGTCTTGTAATAGAGACTTTACAAATATTTACAACCAGTCTGGATTCGTTACAGCATTATAAAGATCCTGTTTACTTTGAATCGTGTTAGATCAATGGCTTTGAACAGCGATAAGGAAGTGATCTACATGTGATCTAGGCGCCTACCTACAGTGGCTAAAAAATAACGAATTAAAATCAATTACTTTGAAATATTGTGATAGTGGCGCTGAAGTGTATGAGTTAAGTAGCTTTATACTCAAGAAAATAGGGCAAACAATCTCAGAAAAAAGCCAACAAATGAAAGAATAAAAGGAAAGCTTCTACCGAGTTTTTGCGCGATCAGATATATAAGGAGTCTGTGTCAGCACGTATCATACCAGTACGTGACAAGGTTTAAGCCCACATTTCTAAGCGTACATAACTTAAAACGAGATCAAAGCTAAGGCATACATACCACTTCCTGATTGCTTCTGCTTGAGAGTATTTCCAGTAACGACAGCTATTACAACTCAGCTCAGATCGATGATCTCAGACTCTAAACAACGGATCGGATCAACCATCGGTCAGTAATATGAACTCCAAATGACAAAGTTTGTTGAACAGATATCACTTATACACCGTACGACAATTTTGATGCACCTATGTCAACTCATTTTGACCCCTTAGTCAGCTGGAGTGCTGTGTCAGGATCGTATTGGTTGACAAGAGACGATATTTTGGTTGTCGGAGCTGAAGCTATTGTAGCGTAAAGGAAATATTTTGTTGTCGTCCTTGCCGCGCAACTTGATACAGCCGTGAAGTCCATCCTGTGACAAAATCTTACCATCTAGTATAGGGTGAGGAAACTGTGAAGAGATGATGCTTTGATTTGGAACAGAATTCCACTATCTAGGCGAAAGTGTTTACGTGAAGATGGAGATCTATTAAACCATCTAAAATTAATCGAGGAGCGCCAGAAATAACATGTTTCAAATAACTATCAGCTTTAAATATTTTGAATGGTTTAATGTTTGACCTTGTCTATTTTTGGCCAAGGGAGGGCGGGGACATTGTATATTAGGTTGCCAGGATATTTATTTTTTAAACTCTCATGTTTTGGATCAAATAAAAGTAGTTGCAGTTTATTCATGTCACAAGCTAAATGCAAGCTTATCTAGTGTAGTAAAAGATAAGTGTTCACTAGCTTGAAAAAACTTAACTGCGGCGCCAAGGGGAGGGGTCTACAGCGAAGAGGAAGGCTATGTGCTCTCTGGAATTAGGTGAATTAAATTAGTGGAATTAAATTAGTGGAATTAAATTTAGACTAATAGCTTTTGCAATACTGTAATTCCTTTATGGTCATGCAAATAAAGCTTTTGGTGGTGTGGTAGGTGTCGTTATAATCACAGTTCGCTTCTTTAAAGAGTGAGCAACGGTTTGCGTCTGAAAAAAGGTAACCGTTTAGAAAACATGGCACACAACCATGCACGAATCTCTTCAAGGGGTATCTCGTCCAGTGATCTAGTGATATAGGCTGTTGTCAACCTAAAAGTAGCCCCCTCCCCTCAAAAAAAGTCAAATGCCATTTTGCTCCCCTCTCTGAAATACTTCTTGTCATAGTTCACCTCTGCGATTCCAATTTCCTGTCTTTCTTAAAGACAATAAAAAGAAATAAAACAAAGACAATTTTAATGAAATTCTTAATTATAATTTTTTGGTTCCGTAAAGATGGCTGGATCGTATTGGTCAAGATTTTTTGGCTTCTTTTTTAGCCGCTAAGTTAATGACTTGTGCACGATATTATACTAGCCTGCATTTTTCGCATTTTTGTGTTTCACGTATTTTGTTTAATTTTCTGTGTTTCGTCATATTTGCCAATATCTTGATTTACAAACAAGGATGGACTAACAAAAAAGACCGAGGGACTTGAAAAATCTTTCGTTTCAACCGGAACATGTTCCATACACTATTTTACTATAACTGTGGGAAGCCTGTCTTTCGTTCTACCAGCGGGGTTTCTGTAATGGGAGTCATTAAATCGGGTTCATATTCCATAGACACATTTTAAAAAAAACTGGGGCAAAGCAATTTATTTGTTTCAATCGCAATGGGCTTTTACCATGCCGATATGAAATCAGGAGGCGATTCTTTGTTTCAACAATATTGGCTTCGTTCTTTTTTTTTTAATACTTTTTTGTGGACCGATCGAGATAAAGTCGAGATTTATTAGAAAGTGCGCCAAAAAAAAAAAAAGAGTCAGAGCCCGTAAACAGATAGAAATGATGTTTTTTTACTTCGATATTGAGCTAATTGAATTAATGAAGGAAGTTGAATCAGCACCATATTATATGGTGATTCGAACCGGTTCACGATATATATCGAAACCACCGGTCGAAACTTGAGATTAACCAAGTAAAAAGATATTGGTTAAACCGCACCGGCTGGCCGCCCTCTTTATTTGAACACGATGATATTCCTTCACAAATGAAATAGTCTTGAGCTTTTTTTTAAGTCATTTTTTAACGGTATTTTTAAGGCATTTGCCAACAGAATAAGGCAATTTTTGAGCTTAATTAGTCACGGAAAAGCAGTAGCAAGAAAAATTGAATTGAAAATTGCATTAAAGAACACACTACAAATAAAACGAGAAAACAGTTTAAGAAGTTTCTTTTTTCAGTCGAAGCTCTCGTTGGCAGCCACCCCGGAATTTCGGAAAAGCCGTGATCGTCTGCTGTAGTAGCCTGTTCCAAGCGTTCAGATTTGGAAAAGCCGTGAAAAGTATGGGAGAGAGGTGCGGGAACCTCTCCCCCCTCCCTCGTTTTATTTTTACGCTGCTGTATCTAAACGCCTGGAACAGGCTACTGCTGTAGAGCTTACAAGAGCTTCAGAAACTCATAAATATAATTAATACAGAAAAAGAACAAAAGAAATGCTAAAGTTTAATGAGAATCTTCGTATCTGATAGAAACAGCTAAACTTAACTTTACGTCCAATTTTTTAGACCATTGGCAGTGTGCAGGTTCATTGATGTGTTGATTTTTATGCCATAAGACTCTGAGTGGCCGCTCACGGGAGAAATCCCAAAAGTGGTCGCGGTCGCTTAAGAGAGCCTTTCATTACAAAGTCTAAGTCACAATTCACACGGGGTTTCACAAATGTTGTCGCAGAAATGTTTGTCGCAGAAGCATTCCCATTCGTGAGCTTGGGATACCTGTGCCTCAACTTGGTACCAGACTCTTTCACCATTGCCCGGCAACATGGCGGATTGCGGCTGATCTCAGTTACTGAAATGTCTACTAGAGGATGGTAGAACCGTATTATGTCGGTGTCGATGTCGGCACCGCAAGTGTAAGGGCAGCTCTCGTCTCTGGTAATGGCAAGATCGTATCATCAGCCATCCGGCCTTTAAAAATATGGAAATCCCAGCCGAACTATTTCGAGCAATCGTCGGAAGATATATGGGGAAATGTCTGCACAGTGGTCAAGGTAGTTGTTACTCAATTTTATGATCTGGGACCACCGGAAGAGGGGGGCGGGGAGTTGAGTGCGGAGCATGGGGGTGTGCCACACCCTTCTCAAAATCCTTCTTTTAATATTGCCTTTCAATTTTACTTTTTCTTGTATTTCTGGGGATACTGCCACCTCCCTCCTGTGAAAAGGTAGCAAGTATTCAGGAAAAATAATCTTCCTTTAAAACCTAGTTGTGCTCCTAATTTTACATATTTGTAGGAAGTTTCTTCTTCAATAAGCAGTGACAAGGATTTCATTCAGAAGATAAAGGGCATTGGTTTTGATGCAACATGCTCATTGGTTGCTCTAGACTCAGCTGGGAATCCTGTGACTGTCAGTCCAACACAGGATAACCAACGAAATGTGATAATGTGGCTGGATCACCGAGCAATTGATCAAGCACAGAGGATCAATGACACGAAGCATGAAGTACTGTCTTATGTTGGAGGATCTATTTCACCAGAAATGGAGATGCCGAAATTGCTTTGGTTGAAAGAGAACTTACCTGAGAAGTGTTGGAAAAAATGTGATCTTTTCCTGGAGCTGCCAGAGTTTCTCACTTACAGAGCTACAGACAATCCAACAAGGTTAGCATTTTACGATCCAAGAAAATCCATGAACCAGAAAATTCCCCAACATCATCTCAAAAGAAGAATGTTAGTTGATCCTTAAATGTGGTAGTTTTACTTATGCTATCTATCTTAATCCAGCCTGTGAGCAAGATATCTGGGGGGGCTCTAGAGAGGCGGGGTGCTCTGAGAGTAGTGGACAGTAGAGAGAGCTTGCTCGCAGGCTGTTCTTCATCTTGTTAGATGTGTTCATTTCAGATATATTTCAATATTTTGTTTCCTCAGATCCATGTGCTCACTTGTTTGTAAATTCAATTACATGGGTCATAACTCACAGTTGCGTGAAGGTAAGTAGACTGATTTCACGCCAACAAGCACTGTATTGGTTTAGAAGAAGTCACATCTTGCCCACCCACCCCTCATTGCATGGTTTCTCATCTAGCCTTGCCCCAAACCACACCCCAAACAGATCTATTCATGGCGAAAATGCCATGACAATATCTTGATACATATTGAAAAGCCCACTTTTTAGTTTTTTTTTAAAGTATTTTAATATTGGCAGGTTCATCTAACAGTGGCTGGGCCCGGATTCCTTTTTAAAGATCCCTGGATTGGTTTGGAAAAATCCTGGCTACGCCCCTGCGCCTTGCCCCAACCCACACCCCAGATCTGTGATGCGCTTTGATACATATATGTGTTGGTTAATATTGGCAGGTTCATCCAACGGTGGCTGGGTGGATTCCTTTTTAAAGATCATTGGTTTGGAAGACCTCGTTGATACTGAGTACTCCAAACTTGGTAAGTTAGTGTGCATACATGACAGAAATGTAGTTCCTTGTGCGATTCTTGCAATATACTACATCTACCAGGACATTTTGTCATTTACCTCTCACTTACCCTACTCAAGCATTTCTTTCTGAAAATCTCCTGAAAATGTTTACTTTGTATACTTTTATCTTTAGGATGCAAAGTAAGCAGTGGGGGTGAGCCAGTTGGCAAGGGTCTGACACTCAGAGCTGCAAATGACCTAGGATTATGGGAAGGGATGCCAGTTGGCACCTCGCTGATTGATGCACATGCAGGGGGACTGGGTAAGAGTGGTTACCATAGTTACTGCACAAACAGTGGTTGATTCTTCTTCTCATAGCTGTAATCGTTCTCTTATTTTATGAAGGCGTCATTGGTGCGGATTTAAGTTTGCTCCTTGGCGAGAACATACCTTTAACTTCTCGTCTAGCTATCATTTGTGGGACATCATCTTGTCATATGGCTGTAAGTATTGCTGTGATTTGTTACCAAAAAGTTACATTTCTCATCAACCTTCTCCCTAGGTTTCTTCTCTTCTTTTCCCCTGGAGTGATATAGAGGGAGATAAAAAGAGAAGAGATTCTGATAACGAGGTTAATCCTTTAAGTGCCAAGAGTGGTCAATGCTAATTTTCTCTTAACGATATCAATACATAACCAAGAGAAAAAGGTACAACAGTAAATAAGATGATCACTTAAAGGAAAATGCTTCGATCTTTTATCAAATCCTTGTAATGTATGAAGATCAGTTAAGAGAAATCGTATATAGATGCTGAGACTCAAAGGATAAATTTTGCATAAAATTAATGGCGCTATTTTTCTGTGCTTCAGATCAGTCAAAAGCCAGTGTTTGTTCCAGGAGTCTGGGGGCCATACTATTCTGCCATGGTGCCAGGCCTGTGGGTAAATGAAGGTGGCCAAAGTGTTACTGGGAAACTGGTAAGAGTAGAAAGCAAAGGAAATGAAGTTTTATTTTGGCCTGCTAACTGTTATGTAGGTTTTTGTACTTTGAAGGCAGTGGGGTAGGATATACGTGATTAACTCTATTGCTCACGCTGTTGCTAAGGAGCCATTTTGTTGTGAAATTAACAGATTGATCATGTTATAGAGACACATGTGGCATATCCAGAATTGAAAGAAAAAGCTGAAAACAGGTTAGATACACCTTTTTTGTCTCTGAATCATTTCCTTTTGCATTTTGTTTGTCTGGGTATTCAGGACTTCAGTTCTAAGATCATTGCATGAGTCCTGTGGGATATTGTTTTTTGTTGCCCTAGGAGTCTGTAAAAAATAACCAGTGAGCAATAATGAGATGGAACTTAGGCGAGCATCCCATCTACGGACAGATACCAATACTTCTAGTTCCCCAAATGCCACAAAATCTTGGTTGAACTGTGGTTGTGTGGGTGTCCTGTGGCTCCTGCACGACTTAAACGTTAAAACCGTTGGCATGACATGACATCTTTATTGAATTCTTTCAGTGGTTCCTCCATTTACGAAGAGTTGAACAGACACGTGACTTCTCTGGCTGAGAAACGACAACTTATGAACGTAGCATTGTTAGCGCAAAATACCCACGTGATACCAGATTTCCATGGTAACAGATCGCCAATAGCTGATCCATCCATGACTGGAATGGTAAGCAATTTAAGAGGTGTTTTTCGCGACCAACAATAAACGCTAACGCTTAATTTGAAACTAGTCGCTTGTGCAAAGCATAAATTCTCTTATTGTCACGCCTACCATAGCAAAGAACAATAAACGCAAACGCTAAATTTGAAACTAGTCGCTTGTGCAAGTTATAAATTCTCTTATTGTCACGCCTACCATAGCAAAGTATTCAGCATTTTTGCCATCATTAGAAGGAAAAACGTTTTGCAGTTATGGAGCAATATAAATGTTTAGTAGCGGTGTCTGATAGAAATCTGGCTCCTGGTTGATTTGATCCTCCCCGGAGCAATTATTGAGCCGTAAATACGTATTTGAAATTTTTCCTGACAAGAAGTTCTGCGGACTTTTTTTTCTTTCAGATTTGTGGATTGACCCTTGTGACTGACATTGATAGTCTTGCTGTTCTGTATCTAGCTACGCTACAGGCTCTTGCGGTAGGTAATATAAGCTATGTTAACTTGACTACAGAGACCACTTGTTACAGACCAAGTGCTGAGTAACTGGAAATGGGGTGAAGTACGAGGGGTCCCAGGGGTCCTTACTCGCCCCCCCACACCCTCCGAAGTTTTCCATCCTACATCCTTCGAGCATCGTGAACTCTGCACTTCTTCTAAGAGAGAGGGTTGGAGACGATAGTAGGTGAAAAACACAGGTTTTCAAAGTTAAAAAACATTGTTTTTGTAGGTTTCCTTTACCTGAAAACATACATGGTCTCATGCAAAAAAGAGAAGGAAATGGGGAAGTGAAAATCGGTCGGATGCGTAACGTACTAGAGAACGCTTAAATTGAATCAGCCACTTGAAGAGCGATATTGTGGAACTTTCTGCGTTGGTAACGATTACAAAGGACAAATTGGCATGGTCCAAAGTTCAAAACACGTATTAACAAAAATCTGCGTTGTACTCCATCACTATCAGCTAACTTGGATGACACCTTGGCTGCTTTGAGTATGTCGCCACTCCCTTTTACACCCTCGCTCTTGTCCAACCATTCCTGTTCCTTGTTTTACACGTGTTTATCATGGCTGTTGCTTTTTTTCGTTTTTTCAGCATGGTACTCGCCACATCATTGAAAGTCTGAACAAAGCAGGACACTGCATCAACACTCTCTTCCTTTGTGGAGGTCTCAGTAAGAATGAGTTGTTTATTCAAACTCACGCTGATGTAACAGGTCAGTTCCATTGAAAGCCGAGCAAAGAGTTTCAAGTATAGCAGTGCTTGATAATCAATATTTGTAACGAAAGGAGAATCACTAAAGGATGGCAGACACTGCCAATACTAGCAGGAACTAAAATAAAATTTGACTTATTTTTAAGTAGCTTTTGTAAAAGGATTATTTAAGGGATAAAGAAATATTTTTTTCACAGGATTGCCCTGCGTGCTGCCGCGTGAAAGTGAGTCCGTGCTCGTGGGGTCAGCTATCTTGGGAGCATGTGCATCAGGCGATTTTTCCTCCGTTCAGGTTAGTGATTTAACAGAGGGTAGGTAGGTAGGCGGGCAGTTTTCCAGAATTTCACCAAGTTGTAAACACTGGACACCTGAAGCTGGTCTCTGCCCTTCGCCAGTCCTTGTCTTTTACCCTTCTATAAGACAGTCACTAACTACTGGTGCCAGCGATGACCCTCTTATAGAGATTTGCTGCATCTGGTCTGAAGCTTTGAAAGTAACTACATTAGGATAAGGAGATAAAAATTCTTATTGGACAAATAACACATCTAGAATGGGTTAATTGTACTGTCGACATTTTCTTTTTCGTAACGTTATTTGCTGTGTTTGAATCCAAAGGAGGCCATGAAAAGCATGAATGCAGCAGGCAAACTAGTGATGCCACAAGACATACTCAAACAGTAAGAAATAATAAAATACTACTTACCTACGCATACATTTTTTCTCTCTTCTGGAAGATCCAAAGTGTTATCTTGTAGCCTCTTCTTGTATCCAAACACCGAGAAGAGAGTGTTTCATCCGATATCCAAACTCTGAGAAATACTATATCAAACACGAGAAAGAGTGTTTTGCCTGGTATCGCATCACTGAGGAGTCGTGTACTCAAACGTGGGAAGGAGTGATTTATTTGATATCCAAACATTGAGAAATGATATACCACAAATGAGAATGAGTGTTTCACCTGATAGCCAGACACCGAGGAGTGACATCAAACATGAGAGGGAGTGTTTCATTTGATATCCAGATACTCTGCAGCGATATATCACACATGAGAAGGAGTATTTTATCGGATATCCAAAAAAAAACAAGAAGTGGATCGAGAGTGTACAAAAAACATTGTTTGACAGATGAAACACTCTCTCGTATGTTAGATATAGTTTCTCAAATAATCAATAACCGTAACGTTGTAGGGTGAGACTTAAGGATCTCAATACCAAAATTCGTTCGTGCTAGGGATTTATTTTGATGTTCATTCATGAATTAATAAAAAGTTGACAGAGTTTTCTCCTTCTCTTTGTTCGTTTTTCCCCTATTTAAGGAAGCAATTTTAACTACTAACCTTACGTTAATTCCAGGTATTATGACAAGAAGCACCAAGTGTTTCTACAAATGCTGCAGAATCAAGTGGAGTATCGCGCACTGATGAAGAGTTAACTTCATTCATTCTTAACGATATCAAAGTAAAAACTGAAGACAAATCTCAAGTACTGCTGGACTGGTTTTATTTGAATGGTCACGGCACAGGATTTCCTTCTCGGACGCAGACATTAAAAACTACTTTGTGTTTCTGTACAGTGTCTCACTCTGTCACGCAACCATAGGGTGCGTGACGAGTGATCGGGGTCACGACATTCGTGACATTGGCCGACAAATCCTATTCTCGCAAAACGAAATTTATTGTTGGAATATTCCTAGTCCATTTTTTGTGGACCTCTAGCCTCAAGTGTTAACAGAGTACACTCACTCCTAGTTTTAGGGCATGCTCAATTTGAGAGAAATCTCCATTTTTAGGGGACTGTCTTCTTGATCCCACACAATTCATTCTTTGTTACGCATGCGTAACTGGTGAGCAAATCCCCATTTGACAGAAACAATAACATAGCAGTCACTGTGATTACTTTGCACAACGCGCATGCTCTGGGAGCCTGTAAAGACAAACAGGGCATTTTTGTCCCCAGAGCTCATCGTTTCTTTATGTCACGTGGTCTTAAGCCGAGAGGCTCTGGGGACGAGAATGCAAACAGAATTTCACGCCAAAACGGCAGTCGCTTTACGCGACTCTTAATTAACTTAGAGTAAGACTTAATTTTGAAATTAAAAACATAAGTGCCGGCGAGGTCAGACTATATTAGAAAGTACAATGAAAATATATTGCATTGTAACAGAGTTTCACGACAGTAAGAAACATTTCACTGCGTATTTCCTTGCATCGGAAAAAGCTGTTTATGTCCAAAATGTAACCCTTCCTTGAAATACTACTCCCATCTGCACAAATTCACTGGCACATAGCATTCACTTCCACATTCCAAAGCGTTAATATGTGAACTGTTGACGAAATGTGGTTGACAGTGTACGTTTGAGTTTAAGAATGAGGTCCCAGAGAGAACTTTCAAATGAAAGCCGTTGAAGAACACTTTCCTGTCAGTTTGTTCGGTGATTCTAAGTCGACAAGTGTCTCTTGTTTGGTCTATGCACAGAACAGTACTTTCTTCTGGTTTAATTTAAAACACGAAGGTTGTTTACATGTGCAAACTTGGCCACTTGATAAAGCGAGTCGATAAAACCTCAACCAAGAACGTCTTCACTGAGCAGTATCCATTTTGAAATGTTGTTAAAAAATTTCAAAGGTTTTTCTTCTCGTATGGGAATCGCGGTGTCTCATCATTTAATCTTTTCCTTTGAAGTTTAAGTCATTCCCTCCTTTTCCCAATCTTCGCCTTCTAACTTGTTATCCGAGTCGTCCACCTCATCACTCGTGTTAACTTCGCCATCCTTCGCCTCGAGTTCGGTAAGCAAAGCTGTAGCCTCGGCAAGGGTGTCGGCAGCGCTTGAGGTTCGTTGAAATGTTCGGCTGGACGAGTATTCGTTGGATGATGACGTATGTGGTGCCCAGTAATGCTCGTTCATTTTTCTCTTGAGCCATTGCACGGCCCATTGCCAACGAGACGTGTTTTGAAGCAAATAATCCTTAGCTTGCGGGCATTTGTTAGCGAGTTGAACTAGAAATTTGATACACTGATAGGCGCGTCTGCTGTCAGCTGTGTTGCTTGACTTGATAACGGCTACAAATAAAAACAGGAAGCGACTGTAAGCTGGGAATGAACAGTACGAAGGTGCTTACATGATGCTGGTACCGCTACGTGTATTGCACGAGTTAGCCTGTATACAGTGCCCCCTCCCCTCCCCTCCTATGGACGAGTATGACTTGCATACCATCATGAACGTCACACAGGTTACACAAACGGTCTGATATAAATATATCAAACACAAGGAAGTGTGTTTCATCTGATATCGAAACACCGAGATGAGGGCTGAAAAAGAGGCGCAGCCGAGTTTCCTACCCCGACTTCAAGGTGTAGTGAAAGCCTGTGAAATACTCTCTCTTCTGTTTAATAAGGTTCCCAAATTAAAAAAGTCAGTGGTAATTCACCACTGTGAGGTTGCGCGGAGGACTGGGTCGGTGTTGTGTCAACTTGAACTGTCGGTCTGTGTTATCGAGTAATTATAACCCAGGCCTGCGCAACCACGGGAAGGTGAAGTAGTATCGTCCACCACCCCAGTCTCCATAGTCTCCGACGCAACCTCAGTAAAAGATTTCCAAACTTTCACAGCTCTTACCGCAACTTAACCAGACCTGTTAATAAAATTACCTAAAACTCCGTCACCCTGTTCATCAGCTACGCATTTTATTCGCAACAATTGTAATGGATCTTCCACCATCTGAAAAAGAAAAATAATGTTCTCAGTGAAAGAGCGAGCCTCCACAAAACTGAAAGAAAATCTGAAAGTAAACAAGACTTTAAGAAGACTTTGCAGACTTAATTAACATAGCTCAGGGTTGTCATTAAGAGCCGGGGGCCGGGGATTTTCCCCGGCTACTAAGAGAGTGGCCCCCGGCTACTTTTATTGGAAAATAGAAGGAAAATAGAACCAAAAGAAATCCTTTTTGATTTTTGTTGTATTTACCAAAAAATCTTATGACAAATAGCTTTATTTTTTCAATCAATGTTCAATTTCTTTATAAGGTTGTTAAGAATAGACCTTCCATGGTTTTTGAAGTAAGGAATGAAGAAAAAAGTCGACAAAAATCTGACACAAAACATGAGAAACAGTGGGGAGTCGTAAAGATTACTATTAACAGACTAGGGTACAAGAGTCATATTACCAGTATATCAAGAAGAGCTCCAAACAGGTATTTCATATCATTAGCGGAGACGGTAGCCAGAAGAACCTGGAAAATTAACACAAAAAAGGAAGGACAGCTGTCATGTAAACTGTGTGTTCAATTGGAAGCAGCATTTCTTGGGGTAGGGGAGGGGTGGGTCAGGTAAGAGGTACATTCTTCAAAGTCTTTCGCGTTTGTAGGAATCCCGTCTATCACGAACGACCAGATCTCGCTTCTCATTCTCGTAACGCTGGAGTTTGGCGCTTCACACACCGTTTTCGCGCTCCACGGAACAGCTTCACAGCCTGACATGTGAGCGAGTCTAAAGCCTCCGAGACCATTCTCAACTTACTCCTTAAGTGAGATACTCTATAGAAAGGTGTGACCCGTCCTCAGTTTCTTCATTATTGGTTTGTGAATGTTTCCTTGAGTGTGAGAGAGGTTTTCAAAACTAGTTGTTTCTTAGATCAGCTTCAGAATCTCACAAACAATCTAGCTTAATGGCAATGAAGTCTGCAAAGCTGAAAGCGAGGTACGAAAGGCCTTTGAATAGAGCTGTCAGTATAAGTCGTAAGAGTAAACAACATCCATTTTCTCCTAACAATATCGATGCAAATTCAAAAGAAGAGGTAATGAGAATTTACACAAATTTGTTTAACTTATTATTCTTTAAGGAAATGTATGGAGATCAATGTAGAGAATTTGTACGAGGATACTGGGGCTTAAAAAGTTGGGTCCCTCTTTCTTTTTTTTTTTCCAGTGTGTATGTGTTAGCTATTCGTACAAATGAGCACGGATAATACCTACCCTGATATGCTGTAAGACTTTAACACTGAAGTGTTCATTGCACCAGCTGCAATGAATAAACATGTTGGCGATCTGCTGAGATGTACCCATCACATCACAAATGGCTGTGGACATCTGCGGAAAGGAGGCAATTAGAAGCAATACTCACAACTCTCTGCAAGATGGACACCTCTTGGATCGGCAATATGTGTCCGTCTTATAGCGAGTCAACAAAAAAAGGAGTAAAGATAGGCAGGGACTCATTCCAGGTGTTCATGTTACAGAGGTGTCTGCCTAAGACAGTCAATGAAAATGACCGATGAAAGGCAGGCAGTGACTAGGTGACCATTTTAGGCAGCTGTCTGTTATAGAGGTGTTTTTAAGAGAGGGTTACCTTTCGAACAAATTCACGGTATCCGCCATCTTAATAGTAAGATGTCTGAGGTCAAAACAATGACAAATGATTTGCCGGTGGGGAAGAGGGGGCAAACAGCTGGTGAAAACGTCCAACGCGGGCAATCGTGGTCGAGTATGTTTATTGCAGGCAACAAATTATGAAGAAATTGTAATATCAAAAAACGACAACGCAAGAGTTCGAAGTGATCGTTGTGTCGTTTCCGGGTGTAATTACCACCAATTGCATGGATGTTTCCTACTTAATCAAAATTCAATAGCAAAATACGGGTAAATGGAACATGTACAATCGTGTACGTAAGCCTTACCTCTCTGATGTAAGTATCATTGTTTACACCAAATATAGCGTCTTCCATTTGAGGGGGAATGGGGATGAGTGGGTCTGTACGGGCCATATCCGGGAACGTGGGCCGCAAAGACCTGGGTTCTGAACCAGAAATTATACTCAATTAATTGCAGCAACAGAAATATTATTGCGCTAGATACAAAAGACGTAATCTGTGTTGAAATATGAAGGAATACAATGTGGTATAGTAATGTAAAGGGTTGCTTCTGGAAGCACTGTCTAACAGTAGGTGGAGTAGTAAACTATTATAACAGCCTACTTTCATATATTAAAATTCTAACATGACTAACATGACACGACTCCGAGGCTTTCTGAGAGCCATGTTAGAATTGAATATATCGAACGTGGGCCATTTCACGAGCCAAAAGCCCAAACTTCCGTAGCGGTACACACTCAAGAATGCTTATAGCCTATAGTTTGCCTATGGTATCACAGTACGGCGGTGCAGTATGTTATAACTAGTGCTGTTCTATTGTCAACTGCAATCTGTGTGGAGATACGACCACATTAAAGGTGTATGGTAGAGTAACTATAACCTTAGTAGTGAGCTATAATACTTGTATTTTTCATACCGACGGTAATCTGCGTGGACACGTCACATGACCTCACAAGGAACGCAAGTACGCTGTATAGATGAGAAAATTCCTGTGCTTGGATAGAGCTCCACCTACGGTTGGATCCCTGGAGAAAAATAGCAACGGACCAATTTAAGTTTCTGGGAAACTGCCCACCTACCCCTCCCCTAAGCTAACACTGACCCTTACTTCTCACTTAGGGCAAAATGAGTAGAGTATGTGGTCATGTAATTAAATGTACCACTCTGTACACCAATAAAGTTCCCGTGGAAAGGAAGGCCTAATCATTTCCTACTATACTACTAAGACTATGCCGATGACTAAGTTAACTTACGTTTTCAGCATTTGGTCCGACTAAGAAGAGCAAGAACTTGGTAAAAGCTCCTTGCGCAATAAGATGTTTACAAGTTTTCCGATTCTGAAAATAAGCCAATAAATGTATTAGCATTGAGGCTTCTGTTGAGATGTTCTTCATCTTCGATATGCACCACAAGAGTGATTATTTCTGAAAGACCTTGCAGCTAGGATGAAGTACGTTTTTGCAAAACGCGTGAAATAACATCAGGAAGCTTAATGAGCGTCATGTATTTATGAATCAAAAGTCTGATGGGTATTTTTGGTATCATAAGTTGGTTTAGTCTGCAGGCGAAGAGTTAAACCGCGATTTCACTGACATTTTGGGCCTGGAATGCCTCTGGGAGCTTTCATAAAATGTACTCTAGGGGAAAAAAAACAAACTCTAAGCTAACAGAGGCCGACAAACACAGAACAAAGAAGGGACTGTTCACTCAACAGGGAATAAGGCTGGGCGGCCTGTGTAAGTTAACGTGGAGGTGTTATCTTTTTCAGAAGGTGACATATGAGAAATTAAAAGAGAGCACAAGAAATTGAAATAGGCAGACAAAAATACAGTTAGCTCTCTCTACGACGAACGCCTTTGGGACTGGTACTATGTGACCATCTTAGAGAGATGTCTGTCTTCTAGAGAGTCAACTAAAAGGACTTAAGAAAGGCAGGCACCAACTCTAGGTGTCCGTTTTAGAGAGGTGTCTGTCTTATAGAGGTGTCCATTTTAGAGAGGTGTCCGTCTTATAGAGGTGTCCGTTTTAGAGAGGTGTCTGTCTTACACAGGTGTCCGTTAAGAAAGAATTGACTGTAAATTGTACTCACCATTGTAGCGTATCTGTTCATTAACCAAAAGTATTCTGAGCAGCTTTTGTGGTTATCAACTACGTCTCGATCACACATTTGCAGTAAGGTCTCTATCAGCATGTTGAGCTGTCCAGATTCCTACAATTTAAGCGAGCGGAAATAAAATACTTCCAGCGGGAGCCCGCTAAAAATACTGTCTACATTAGGGCAAACTTACAGAGGAAAAGCCCTCTACTGGAGACAAAAAACATTGCGTGGGCGTTCACAAGTCAACAACGTTGTGATGGGTGCAAGTAATCAATCTTGTCAATCTTAAGAATAAGCGACACTGCTCATCCCGTGTTAGCATGACTGCTTTGGGTTCTCTGTGCTTACGTCAATGCTTTGGGTATCCTGTGCCACTTCATTGTTTGGGAAGCATGAGTGCGCACGCTAATGCTTTGGGTAATCTGTGGGTGAGGTGTTTGTGAGGCGCAGTTTTTGAAGTTTGGTAGGTCAAGAGGACCAATAAAAACTGTACTTTAAGAGCAATAATTATAAATTATGCATATTTTACCGCACTTCCTCCGTGCATTATGAAGCTTTCAAACGTAACACCGAGAATCTTGGCAAATGCAAAGCGCACTTCTTGCGCGGGACATTCTAAAAGAAAAGGTCTGAAAGAAGAAAGAAGAGCAATCACTGATACATTACGCAGTGAACTTTTTGATCCCATACCTTTAGACTGCTAATAGTATACGTCATGAGAACTGATAACATTTGCCACTTAAAAAAGAGAAAAAAAAAAAACTGAGCCGAGTTCACTTTCGCAAAGTCTTCTGGGATTGTTACTTGGGACAAGGCAAACAGATTGACCAATAGCTGACCTGCGCGTCCCCTGTTAGGATCCCAAAATTCTTTGCGAAAGCTAACTCGTCCCAGAGCCTTCTTGCTATTTTATTTCACAAGAATTTTATCGCATTTACCAGCTTAACTGACCACGCAAATGGAAAAATTTGCAATACGACTCGTACAAGTTACACTATCTTAATTATCTACCGAACATTGGATCATAATGGCGAGACGTCTGCTCACTGTAGTTGTCCGCTTACCTGATGTATCCCCTGCCTCTATCACCGGCGAGAAACTGCATAAACCATCCACACGCTTCACTATTGTGCTTCACTATTATACTAATACAGTTACACCAATCCTCTGTGTGCGTTCTGTAGAAAAGCACAACAATTGTTACTGTCTTTTACAACAGCTACACTACACAGTGTTACCAATATATCTACGGTAAAACGGAGAAATGGGGCAGATTTTGACTGCAGTCAAACCTCTAAATGCCCGCTTAATAGAAGTTTGGCAGTATACAGTTCAGCCACAAGCGAGTCCCCACCTATTTCAATCTGACTGCACAGAGAACAGTTAGTTTGAGGTTACCGGAAGAAGTCACCGAAGGTAGCGTCCCATTTCTACATTTGCAGCGTAGGGAAGAGCTTTAGTGCAGCGGCAGTTTACAGTAGAAGGCGACTTGGTCGACAGGTCAGAGAGGCAGTCTTACAATTCCGAGAACTCGGGATTAATTCCCCGCTGACACGTTAGCTGGATCTGTTTCTCGGTAACCCCGCGTTCAACTCCTCAACCAAATTTGGTTCTTGTTGTGTTAATGGTTTACCTGGAGCTATTTGTCCACGTCAGTGGCGAGCCACTAAATGATCAATAAAGATTACTTCCTTTTTTTTATTTACTGACCTGAGTTTTTTTGTGGTCCTAAAATAAGTGTGGAACAGGAAGTTTACCGCCAGCTGTAGGCTACATACTGATAATATGGTTTGCTTATCGGATGAAGTGTTTCTCTGCAACAGAGGAGCAAAATAAGCAAAGGCTTGTGAGGATAAGTCCCAAGTCCAAAGGCTAGGCTTTCTACAGCAATAAACAGTTTGTTCAAGATGTTTAATTTATTTATGTGTAACTCACCGCATTGCAAGATGCAAGACTGAGGACAAATCTGAAATAATCCACATTATAAACGTCCCTATTCTGCATGAATTGAAGATTTTCAGTGTGAACCTGTTGAGGGAAATATGGAGACAGCAACGGAGATAAGAAATTCATAAAACCTTAAATCCCAACCGTCCCCACAGCCAATCATTCAGAGTTTTTTATCACCTAACTAATGGCGTCAGTCCTACCCATGAGCCAATAAGAACTCAAAACAAATACATGTAGCCGCCGTAAAGCGCGGGATGAAAAATAATATATCAGACACGAGGAGAAGTGTTCCATTCGATGTCCACCGATGAACACCGACAAACTGATATATTAAACACGAGAAGGTGTGCGTCATTTGATGTCCAAACACCCAGAAGTGATCTGCCAAACACGTGAAAAAGTGTTTCATCGCCTGAGTTCAAATCCTCGGGCAGGCTTATACTACCCAAATGGTCGAGGTTTTTAATTTTGTTATAATATATTATCAGACTTGTTTTAATCAAAATGGTGACTATACATTAACTGACCACTCTCTGGATAGCAGCTGGCATTTTATCCTTAAATATGCCCTTGCGTTCTCCTTTCTGTACCAAAGCTGTCAGCTGGGACAGGCCGTCTATCCGAGTGGGAGACGGGGGGCCTGAGCTCGAGGAAATTGAAGATGATGACGGAGACGGTGGGCAAGACCTGAAAAGAATACACCAGTAATTATAGTATCTATTTAGTAAAATTACTTAACTTCTTATTGTGCTGGTCGAATGTTTGTCTTACAAAACCACCCGAGGGTAAGATGATATTCTTTACGTCACGCAAGGTGAAGTTATTAAGGCGTCTATTGCTGCGATTTTAATTGAAATCGCGCGTGTAACTAGCGGTGATGTATCTCCGCGACATTGCTTTTAGTTTGAACCTACTCGAATTTTGAGTAACGAAATCGCATGAAAAATCCTCTGTGTATGCTTCCCAAGGAATGAAAGTTGCAATGGAGTTAAGTTTTAGGTAGAATTTTTTTTCAAATCTTTCAGGAGGCGGGGGGGTTGACTTTTAGAGAACGTTCTTTGATTCAAACCTCTGTCCCTCCATAACTGCCTCTTGTCGTACTAGGAGTCGACCGTCATTGCCGGAGCCATTCATGGCCCTGAGTTTGTCAGCTGATTCATAGAACAACATGTAACCATTCCAATAGCGATGACGAGTTTCGGGGTAACTGTTGACTAAAAAGAGAAAACAATTTTTAGAAACCTTCAAGGCAAGACAGGGAACCACTCTCAAGATAGCCGATGACAACAAGTGCATTAGGATCATTCGAACATGCTTTTAAGAATCAGTTTTTCAGGTTGCAAGACAGTTAATCGCTAATTAGACTGCTCTTCCTTTCGCATGCCAGTACGCGAGTCAGTCAGCTAGCCAGACAGCTAGTCATTCAATCAATCATTCATTCATTCAGTCAGTTAGTCCGTTAGTCAGCCATCCAGCAAGTGAGTCAGTCAGTTAGCCTTGCCACACGTCGACTGCGTGAGTGAGCGCCAAAAGTAAATCGTTTTATGACTGACCATCTAAGCAGCTGATACCGGAAACGGGCTTTGAGAAAGTCTATCAGTCAGTCAGTCCGTCAGCCAGCCAGCCAGCCAGTCAATCAGTCCGTTAGTCAGCCAGCCAGCAAGTCAGTCAGGCAGTCAGGCAGTTAGTCCGTCAATCAGGCTGTCAGCCACTCGGTCAGTCAGTCAGTCAGTCCGTTAGTCAGCGAGCCAGTCAGCCAGACAGTCAAGCAAGCAGTCAGTCAGTAAATCAGTCAGTTAGCCAGGCCGTCAGGCAGTTAGTCAGTGAATCCGTTAGTCAGCCAGCCAGCTAGACAGCCAGTCAGCCAGAAAGTCAAGCAGACAGTCAGTGAGTAAATCAGTCGGCGAGGCAGTCAGCTATTCAGCGAATCAAAGAATAGTCACATTTCAACAGGCATACCTGTATCATAAACATTGGCTTTGTACGTGCCACCAAAACATTCTGCCTCCAGTGTATCTTCATTCATATCGAACTCTTCAACAATAATATCATTAAACTTGTACCACCTTTCCTTTGTATCGCAGCCATTCACCCCTACCCTGTGTGTATAAAAAAATTGATGGTTGATCTACTGCAAATCAACACATGAATTTGAGGTTGACTGAAAGTGAGCAAGTTTTCCTTGAATTTTTTTCTCGGGTTCACAACAAGTTTTTTAGGACACGTCTTCTTGTAAAAAAAGTGGCAAAAATTATCGTGGAATAAATGGAATATGGTTCGTACAGCTTAGAGAGAAAAAAAGGGCGGAGTTTGTCAGACTGAAAATGTCAAAAATGAGGACCTAGGACTCCATGATTTTACTGCTAATCAAGAGTTACATTTCCATTTCCTAATAAAAAAAATCAGCTGTCTCCATTCCCCTGCTCCAACCTCACGCCAGGAAAAAAAAAAACTTTTAAGAAATGTTCCAGGGCCAGGAAGAATATTTGAAAATTCCAGGAAAAAACTGCGTTTTCGAGATTCTAAATCTGAGCACACCTGTCCTTGATGAACGAGTAATAATGTCCAGCATTTGCTTGGCCACTGTGTACGATGACTCCAACAAGCTCATACTGGATCTCAGGTGTACTGATGGATACATTTGAGACATTAGACTGCAGAGAGGAATTCGACGCTGACATATGCAGGTCGGTGACGCTGCCACTCTCACTGTCAGTGTCTGCCGCCTGAGGATTGCTGTTGTTATAATCTCTTCTGGCCACGCCCTCCGTTGTGTATGGCTCCATGTTTAGGACCCAAGGAAACTGTAAATAAAAAAATATATTCAAGCGTTAATTTTTTCAGGATTTCTTATCTTAACCGCTCCAGTGGCGAACATTACAGCGATGGTCTATCAAGTGTTACAAATGTATTCAGTATCGTTAAACATGTCAGAAATGACTGTAATAAAATGAGAATTCCCGAAAGGCGCACTTTGTCTAGAAAACGATAAACAAACACCTTCGTGTGAAACAAACCCCAAGCAGGTGACACATGAAGGGTCACACTATAGGATTTCGACCACAGACCGGGAATTTGTGAGCTGTGTCGTATGTCTTCGTATGACGCAACTAGACTATGACAACAGTGTACACACAAGGTATACAGCTATTTCGAGAAAGGTTGTCGAAAAAAGTGCCCGCGACAATCCCGAAAGGTATTGTGGGTGGTTTTTAGTTCACTGTTTTTCGAAGAAATTTTAAACAATGGCAAGAGAGGCCATGGACGTATGTTTGCGAGTGCTTAAGGTTTGACCAATCACAGCGCGCATTATACAAAACCGAGGCAATTACTAAAAGAAAAGAATATATTACCTCGAAGTGATCATCAAACTTGAGAGCTCTACCAGCCTCCCAGTCGTACCCAAACCTCTTGAGCTGAATCACAAGCACGGGAGGTAGGGCCTTAATGCACATGCGCTTCACTGTAGTCCGCTGAAAAGTAAGATTTAAGGTTCCTTAGGATTTTATCCAGCTTCATAAGATCAAATAACTGTGCGTCGTTATAAAGGGCAACAATAAAATGCACTGCTCACTAGCTTGAAAACAGTAATTGAATAGACCTGCGATAAGGAGTTTTATTTTGGCCACAGTTCAGTTACGATACAGTAAAAGCAGGGTTTGCTCTTCTGACGGAGAATGATATTCCAGGGGTTTTCTAAAATGAAGCACCCAAAACTAGACCATCTTACTTAGCGGCGTGTATTCTAACTTTTCACTTATCCGCCACAACAATGAAACTCCGGGAGTTTTCAGGAGTAGGTAGAAAAGGAGATTTTCCAAGGAGTTTTCAGGGTTGTCATTAAGAGCCGGGGGCCGGGGATTTTCCCCGGCTATTAAGAGAGTGCCCCCCGGCTACTTTTATTGGAAAATAGAACAAAAATAGAACCAAAAGAAATCCCTAGCCGTTTGATTCCCCGCCTAATTGTTGTATTTACCCAGCAACTTGAAATCCTATAGGGACAACCCTGAACAGTTTTACAACCTGAGAAACAAGAAGCCACCATTGGTTTCCCCTCGAAATTACGTCTGAGGAAGGAGCGCAGAAATTCATACTGATGACATGTTACTACCCAGAGCTGGCTAGTGCTTCCGACTGGTCGTGCTGCAAGGGAAATTGGCTTCAACCAATCAGAAGCTGCAACTTGTTCCTCAGACGTCATTTTGCGGGGAAAACAGTGGTGGCGTCGCAAAATGTCGGCTGTTTTCTCAGGCTTGGAGTATTCCAAGCCCTGAAAGGGGTTTTTAAGAATTGGCCAAGAATTGGATGTTTCTTAAGAGGATTACAGTGCTTTGAACCCTGTAACAGTATTTCAACAATCCAATGAACAATCACTTACCCTCTCACTGCATTTTTCGCAGAAATAAGCATTGTCTCCTTCAAGAATCTCACCATTAACAAACTGTTCCAGCGAGTCCTCTAATCTACAGTTTTTGACAGTTACTTGAAGTGAATGGAAGGCTTCTTCTCTCTCATACCTACGAAGAGAAAGCGTTTCTATGTACATCGTCCCAGCATGAACCTTAGCTTAAGACAAGTGGCGGACGATAAGCTGTCACATGGACGGAACAAATTTATTGAGACTAACGGGGAGGGGTGGGTGAGGGAGAAGAGTTGTCAGGGAAGGGAGCAAACCTGCCATAAACATTAGCGCTGCACAATGCACAGCTCAATTGGTAACTACAAAGCTCTCTCAACCTACATACCCGTGAGCCGACAGCAGTTCATAAAATCCCTCTTGAAAATGCAAAAACAGAGATTTATACTGTTCACACGAGAAAGGCACATACCCTAGGCAACCTCTCAGCAATGGAGACTAAATATCAGTTTACGCCCCTCTTTCACGTGTAAACGCATGCCTTAAACATATAACTTTGTATACGAACAGGTGTGAACATTGCCAAGGGCGAGAGAATTTAAGGCATTCTGGGAGGGGTAGGTAATGATCCTTGATTTTGGGAAACTGGTCACGCACACCTACTCTAACATAACATCAACCCTGACTTCCTGCTCGGAACAAAATTTTGGGTTACGGGAGGGGTAAGTGCGCAGTTTCCTGAATCTTATACTGATCCCTGATGCTACGAAACTACCAACATGCCCCTCCCCTGACCGATGTTAACAGTATCTTCCTAATTGTAACGATGTTGGGTCAGGGGAGGGGTGGGTGAATGGGTAGTTTTTCTTACCTGTGGTTACAATCTTTACAAATCTTCTGATCGGCAAACATGCCACATAACGTCTTTTTAAATAACTGCTCTTGCCCTAATTTCTGTGGATAAAGAAGATGAGTAAGCTACTCTTCTGACTTAAATGGAGCAAGCTTCAATAGCCAGAAGACACCGAAAATTACACTAACTGTAAGTACATCTAGAGATTTTAACCAAAGTTTGCAGACAAAAACTTGTCCTTCTCTTGACAGGAGTACCATGAATATTTTCTAAATTTTCTGGTTTGTACGTGGACTATCTTACATTGCCTAAGGTTATTCATGATTTAACGTTTTAATATTTCTTAAAAAGCACCCAAAAAACACAGCTGACCTTAAGAATCTCGTCGAGTTGATCAGTGAGGTTACTGAAGAATTCAAAAGCGTCCTGAAACATAAGGCCAGATTTAAACGCCATTAATGTCACCACTAAGAGACCTACACTTTGTACCTGAATAACTATAACTTAACATTCACTTTCCGCACACACTCCTGTAACTAACATTAATGGAGGAAACGTGGGCGAGTGGTTACAGCGCTGGACTTCTAATTTGGAGACCATTTATTTCAATCCCACCCCGACCGCTAGCTGGATTTGTTCCTAGCAGTCCCAAGTTCAAATCCTCTCCTGAATCTGTGAAACATCCAACTGGTTAGCCTCTTATAACCACTTGAAGTTCTTAACCTTGTTGTTTCATTTTCCCTAAAAAGACCATAAGGGGAGAGGATAATTAAGTATTTAATTTGATTGCGGGCGACATGAGGAGCCCGCAATCCTAGTCTCCAGGTTGTTATTACGCATGCGTCGCATGTATGTAGCCAGCATTTGTTTGGACTTCCACTAAGAATGAATGGAATGCACAGAACGCAGTTTGGTGACGAGCGTTTCGACGTTCTACCCATCGTAATCTGATCACGTGTGTTTTGAACATCTGTCACGAGACACCCGGCTACGCAAAGCACTCACTGCGTTGGAGCAAAAGCGCTTGACCTTGGATCGTTGTCGCCCGCATTCCGTAAACTTTGGTTATTACTAGTTTAATTGAATTTAATGGACTAACCTGTTGTTCTCGAACATTAACTGGTTGACCCCAGAGTTTGAAACACTTCCAAAACTGCTCAGGAGCAAAATACTGTAACTTGCTGTCCATCAAGTGACCGAATACTGACTGGACTTGGAAAAATACACTGCGGGGAAAATGGAAAGACAAGAATCGTAAGATCAATTTAGGTTCCCGGAAAACTGCCCACCAACCCCTCCCTTAAGCCATCATTTTGCCCAAAGTGAGAAGTAAGTGTTAATATTAGCCTAGGGGAGGGGTAGGTGGGCAGTTTCCCAGAAATCTAAATTCATCCGAATCGTGTTCAGAACAAATGAATGGTGACATCAAGTGGAAAGTATTTGAGTAGATGACGAATAAAACTTGGTAGCCTCTTTAGGTAAGGCTGGGTAGCTAATCTTTCCCGAAAGAACATGCAAGAAACCCTGTTAGACGAAACCTGTGTTTTGAAGCTTGAGCGGACAGTTCTGTGTAAAGTTTGATAACAAAAAATAGCTGGACTGCCTACTACGGCAAGTTAAACGCCATGGTGGCTTGAGAAAAGTCTTAAAGAGTTGCAATGTATGTAAATATGTGGACGACGATATTGATGGACAATTGAAAAGGAGGGAAAGATCATTCAGCGGAAGCAATGCAGGATGGCATGGTGAAAATACATATAGGACTTTTCATTTTGTAAGCCCGCTTGTTTACCACTTGGACTAAAAGTCGCACTAAATACCTTTCTTTATCAGGATGCGTATCATCATATGACAAAAGAGCCTAAAATAAAAGAAAACAAACATCCTTAATTCTTTTCTTTGGGAAAGCACATCAAGTACAAGACAAGAACAAGAATATGACATAATTAAATATTGTTTAAAAAACTTTAAGTGGCTCTCTTTCAACTGGACAACTCACCGTGGTAATCACTACCACCACCACAGGCGTTCAGATAGTAGGACGTGGTTTTCAGATGGTGAAGAGCGAGTTTAAACGTACGCAGGCCTTAGTTTTTTTTCCTTGTTAATTTTTCGCCTATGCTCTATCTGAACGCCTGAAACAGGCTACAACAGCAGCAGTGGCAGCAGCAGCAACACTATTAATGCTAAGTATTAAGAACGACTTTCCATTTTGTAAAAGCGAAAATAATTGTCCATACCTCTCTCAGAGCTGGTTGCATGTATAACTGCTGCAGTACGGAGTTCATGTAACATGTCGCTCCGGCATTTTTAAGACCCACAAATCCACAGTGAGCTCTCGGGGCTACTGGTGGCTGAAACTGAAAAATATAACAATCCAGTATTAATACACAAAGTAAAATAGCAATATTTGCTGCACTGCAAAATTTATGGACTCTAGTTGTTTAACTCTCTAAGCCCCAATATCCACATACAAATTCTCCGAACTGATCTCTATACATTTCCTTCAAGAATGAGTTGAGAGAATTTGATAAAAGATCAAAGCATTTTCTCTTAGGTGATCATTTTATTAATTCTCATAACCCAATCTCTTGACAATCTATGTCTATTGTTATGAGAAAATTGATGTTGGTCACTATTGAGACTTCAAGGGTTAACAAGACAGCGTACCTCCCATTCCTTTAGGATAGCAGGATCCCCAATGTGATGCATGCTAATCAACTGTGAGACAATATAAACAAGATTCTCAGCGCAGCCATCGGCCAGCTCCACCAACAGATCATGAGCAGCGACTTGACACTCTCTTGCAACACATCTGCAACAGATAAAGCGCTAGATATCAGAAAACAGCTGACATTTTTCTACGCCAAGATTTTCCTGTCGAAATGACGCAGTCGCGCGGAAACTAGTGATGGCGTTTCAAAAATGTCGGTTTTTTTCCCAGGCTATACAAGAATTACAACTGCAATTTGATGGGAAAGGATTGGCTCAGTCAATACAGGATCAAATGTTGAGTTGTCATGTGCAGCAAATTTTCTGGAGATCATTTTTATCGTATCCCTCGTATTTCTTAGTGTTGCTTTAGCCTTTGAACTGAACATATGAACCGTAAAAACTGAATTCATTTGAACTTACTTTGGTTGTACATCTATGACGGTTTCCTTATTTGGGGTGCCTCTGGTATCAAAGATGAGTTTAGAAGCCGGAAAGAGAAAATCATCTAAGATATCCTTTATAAGCTTCTCTCCTGAAAATACAAGGGATAGACAAGAGGATTAACAATACTTCTCAAACTTATAAGTACTTTATAAAGAGAAAACAAAGAAAAATACAACCATGAAGAACATTTGGAAAGCAGATCTTTAATAACCCTAAAATTTTGCCACCTTTAACTTTGAATATATTCAAGACGTATCTTCTTCAGGCCATATTAAACCAGGGTTGTCAAAAAGATTTTAAGTAGCAGGGGGATAACAGAAAGTAGCCGACATGTCTTTCCTGGCGGGGCCGCTAGGGGAAGACATATCACCATTGATATAAACAGTTCAATCCAGGTCAGTACACACACTGACCTTTTCAACCCGTTGATGTTAAGTTTTGTTTCCTAAGAGGTCCGTTAAGATGATTGACAGCAGCCAAAAACGCAATTGTCAGTTGCCTTTTTAACTTAGTATTCGCATGTTTGTAAAAAGAGCAATAAAAAGTTGGTGTTAAAAAATTCGATTGGACCCGATTTTTGCCATTGCACTTCTCAGTGTTTGGATGTCAGATTGATTGTCGATTGTTGATTGATTGATTGATTGATTGTTGTTTGATATATTACTTCTTAGTGTTTGGATATCAGATGAAACACTCCTTCTCGTATTTGTTATATCACTTCTACGAGTTTGGATATCAGATGAAACACTCGCCCTTCTCGTGTTTGACATATTACTTCTAAGTGTTTGACAACGGATGAAACACTCCATCTAGTGTACGATGTATTATAGTCCAGTCTTGGCATTATTAGGATCTTTGTACCACAAACGCATATACGTCATATAGTGTGTACAACTCAACTGTCAAAAGAAAAAAGCCGTTACCATTTTGAAAAAGAAAGTGAGCTTGTCTCACTTACCTAATCCTCTCTTGTCAACGCCTTCACATGTAAAGAGTGTTTTAATTAGTTTTAAGTGTCCTGCCAGAAGTGGAAATTCATTGTCTGTGGAAAAGAAGAAAAGCGATGACTTTTGGTATATCGCCGGAGACAATCATGCGCGGTAAGGTTAAGGAAATCTAGGCTTTGATTGGCTACTTAAGCAAGTAAGATGGCGCAGTCTTGTCGGTGATTGCTTACTTGATCCCGCGGGAAAAAACCCTTTTGGCTTTATAATAAATCCTTTATTGAACAAGGTCGTTCGGAGAAGGCGTCTTAACCTCACATTTGGTTGGTTATGTACTGAAAAACTAACAGTACCACGAATTGGTGATACCAGCGAAGTTTCAGCAGCATCTACAGCTACAGTGTATGCCTTCATTATTGACTCTGGGACCCGAAGGGCTTAACAAATACAGGACAAAAATGTTAAAGAAAAACTTTACCTAAACTGGTTGTACATTCGTAGTTTACAAGCCAACGTATTTCATTTTCGATCATCTTTGTAGGGTCTATCTTCATCAGCCTTTGTTCCATCACTAAAACACATAAGTAAGAAGGGGAGAAAAAAAACTGCGTTACCTATTTTATGTTAAGTAAATTGTAAATATCTTATCATCCACTCCCCTCAGGGCTTTTCAGGGATAATTTACAACACTGGTTGGGGGACTTTGCCAGACTGCTTAAGGTGCAGTTTACAAGTAATGAAGGAATGAGTAATGATGCCCCCATACATGAGTGTGAAAGTGAGATAGACCACTACACCTGGCACTACGTGCCCTACTCTTTACGAAGAGTGTGTGGGTTCTTTAACGTCCCACAGATTTTTAATACATGTGCAAGGGCTTGTGAGACGGGGCCTACGGTTTATCGTCCTTATCCGAGAAGACTAGAAAGTCTAGCCGTTTGCAGATATTATTACAAAGGCAGCACTTTCTCCTCAGTTATTTAAAGACCCTGAGTGTTGGTCCGGCCGGGGTTTGAACCCGCGACCTCCCGCTCAGTAGACCGGCGCTCTCGCAACTGAGCTAACCAGGCGGCGGTTTTTTAAGCTTGCTTCCTATGAGTCACATGCATGATTACAGCATTGCTGTTAGTGTCCAGAATATTAGAATCTATCCCACCCAATGTCTACACAGAGCTGGATTCAGACCTTAAGATAAAGGGCGGGGGGGGGGGGGGGTCATCCAGACCCTTAGATAAGGGGGGGGGGGGGTCTCCCTCCCAAAATTTTTCGGCCCTTTCGGCCGCAGTTTGGTCCAAGAAAAAAGGGGGGGCCTGGGCCGCCTCTGCTACATACATATTCTCCAGACTGTTCTCCAAACATTTCTTTAAGAAATTAGTTGAGAGAATTTGATATAAGATCAAAGTATTTTCCTTTGAAGATCATTTTATAAATTCTCACTGCCTTTTTGCTTGATGATATTTTGATATTGTTGAGAGAATGTTGATGTTGGTCACTCTACTACTCTACTCACATGTTAAGTAATCCAGCAGTCGACAGAGGAGATCAAAGAACTGGCTACAATGACGTTGCAATCTAAAATGCAATTGGAGTATTGTGAGAGGCAGTTATGCTGCAACAACTACAGTAATAGTGAAAAGATATGCAGCACCATGCAATTTGTTTTAAAAAAAGTTACCTGTGGTTTTTTCCTCTGACGTAAACTGTTGGAGTCCACAGTGGAAGGGGAGAATTGAGCATCACACTCAGAAGAAAATGATTTGGAGTTTGAATTTTGGGATCTGAAAAACCAAAAAAGTACTCAGTCAGTCGTTCATCATCATCATCGTCATAGTCATCGTCACCGCCATCATCACCATCATCATCATCATCATCATCATCATCATCATCATAAGGGGCAAAGAAATGGTTTCCATTCAGCCCTGCTTTTGCTGACTTGATATCAGCCTAATACCTCCACCCAAACTTCTTTTTCTGCCATCTTACGCCACTTATCTTATGGTCTTTCTCTCCTTCTTTTTTTCTGGTGGAGACCAATTTAGTGCTTTTCTCCACTTGTCATCGAAAGGTTCGCAGGGTTTGGTCACACAAAATTTACATCTATATTTAATTTTATATAAAAAACTTCTATAGGCCACAGGTGCTCCAGAAGCGAACACGTTTTTACTCCCCTTCTGTGCTCAAGAGTGCTATTACTACACGTACATACCTCCTACTGGCGTTTGGCTAAGAATAAGTAGTTGCTCTAGAGCAGTTGTCCGCACCTGTAATTCATTGAGACACAAATTATAACAGAAGGAAAATACACACACCCATTATTACATAACTAACGATGATCAAAGCAACTGGTCTCGATGTTTAAGCAACCTGAACCACATGATCCCAACCAAAATAGATGGTACATGGTGCGGATAATTGATGCACTGATTTAATGCTAGAAGAGAGCTTTTGATTTAAGGAAGAGAATAAGTAAGAGTACAAGATTTAACTTAACGTTTTGGTATGTGTTCTAAAAAAAAGGCACCCCAGAAAGCTTCAATTTACCTTTTTTCACCAACAAAAGTTAGTACGGTTATTTATACTGAAGGAGGTTAAGCCGTCTCCCGATAGCAAAAGGATAAAACTTCTTTCATTTGATAACTTGTTCCCTCCACTACGACATTCTCGCTAAAACTCGTAGGGGGCTATCACGTTTTCCCGCCAAAATGACGCTGGTTCACGCGTGAGCAAATACTCAATATTGGGAAATCTCGTACGCGTAGTCGTCCTTGTGTCAGAATCTAAAGCTCTCTAGTAAGTGAGCTAAAGATCATTGGCATGCAAGTTGATTTACCTGAGAATTAATGGAACCTATGAGGATTTCCACAATGAAGTCATTGACGTTTGGAAGGTAATAAAACACTCCTATTGAAAAAAAGGAACATGAGAAAATATTGAACGGTCCCGAGTGAACGAAGTGTCCGGTCAAACTTTCGGGGCACTACGCCCGAAAAATAAACAAAATTTTCTTACCCATAAGTTGAGTTCTAAGCTGTAGACAAAGGACAAGTAGTTGAAGGGCCTCAGCGACTATCACGACATCCTGAAGCAAAGAAAAACGAAAAAAACGGCAACAAACAAACTTTAACTTTCTGCTGAACCTGCACCTGCACAGGTAACCCAAGGCTAGTCCGTAGTACCATTGGCAAAACTCAGCAAAGACGCCGTGGACAGTGTTAGGGTGTAAGAAAATCAGATAAAAAGTTACTTAAACCAGGAAGAAGGTATAACAGAACAAAAGATGTATAATGTCCACATTTTGTGTCATTTTGCAGTCTTAATGAATGGCTTGCAAGTGCTTACGATTCAAAGCAAAAGTGGCCAGATCACAGGTGAAAAATGAAGACGAATTTGAATTAAAAGACATAAATATATAAAACGCGTGTTGGAGAGAGACGGGTGATACATTTTATGTGGAAACGAAATCATTGTGATTATTTCGTCAGCTTGTCAAGCGAGGGTCGAGTCGCCCAAAAAGCTTCTGACTGTATCTCTACCTGTGTCTTTATTATACATACCTTGCTTGTGACCTCAGAAGGAATACCATTGGAGACACTCGACCTGAAGGACCTGACCGACTCTGTATCACTACCCGCCCCTCCCCCCATAGTAGCTGCCTCCTCATCAGAGCTCTGACTGGATAGCCTCTGTCTACCTCCTGCAAGGTTAATTCTTCCAGCTGCTGCAGCCCAGGCCACTCGCATAAAACAGGCAATCGTTTCCGCAAAGTCATCGCGACCCATTGTCTGAGGACAGAAACACTGCTGTTAACTCTTTTAATTCCAGTAAAAGCCGATAATTTGTTAGCTCGATGACAAAATTTGGTGGTGTGACAATTCAACTGAAATCTAATGAGCAGTAAGGTGAGGTTTTAAGGAGGGTGAATTATTTTTTACCCCACCTACGAGGGTTACCTCACCTCGCTGGGGTACCCCACCTTCATGTAAACAGGCCCAAAGTGTGCTCGTCCCCACTATCTAGTAAAGTACACACCTCTATGGCTACTCTGACGGAAGGATGTACATCATCGATCACGCTACTCGAGCGTGGTCTTTTCGCTTCAACAGCTGAGTTGTTCAGGGAGTCATTTAAGTCAGTGTCCATGGTTCCCGTTGCCATAGCAATGGGTGACGCAGCAGCAGTTGCAGATTCTCGGTAGGGTGAAGTGGGAGGAGCTGTGAAGGAGTTTTCAGACGACTGTCCACATAGTAAGAACCTTGAAGACAATTAGAAAGGAGAGTATGACAAACCGAACATGCTACTTTGAACTTTGCTCCATGCCACAAAACTCAACGTATTTTAATGGCTTTGCCAAACTTAGCAGCGACACCATAACAGCTTATGCATATTACTGTGGGCCAGAATCGCGTGTCAATCCATATCTTCATTCAACTGTTATGGGACCTCTGTCCAAGGGGGTTTGCTAACCCTCCCTATAAATTGATTAGGAATGTTGAAGGAGACGAAGCCAACAGCATAACTTCACTGCTCAACTCAGCGATAAACTAAGGTCTTAATCACAGCTGGTGAGATGTTTATTTTTTAACACAACTTTGGTTAGCAGTCCGGCCGGGGTTAAAACACACGATTTCCAGCCCACAAGTCGAGCTCTAACATCTGAGCTAAGTGGTGCTGAGGCCTTATGACTACTTTCCAAGAAACGGAAAATGCATTTACTAATTTTAAAACAAAGACTTCCTGATGATTGAAGTGCGGTCAGACGTCAAGATTACCTTTAGAAAAATAACCGTTTACGATTAAACAACAATTATTGGTTATCAAGGAGTTAGCCATTTCTCCCTACTGAGTAATCGTTAAAAAGTACGTTTAAATTGTCTTGTAGAGGAACAAATTAACCTGTAAACTTGCTGTAAATCAATGACTTTTTTTGAAAAATAAAATACTGGACTACAAACCTTGCTAGTTGTAGACAGATTGCATAACAGCCTCGGCGAATTTCTGTGTCTACGTCTTGAGGAAACATATCTTTTTGCAATATGTTGACAACAATGCTATTGGGATCAACATTTAGAGAACAAGCCAGTGAATAAGTACAATGCACAATATTTGATATAAAATATAACCTTTTCGCACTCTGAAAGTAAGAGAAGTAAGATGGGTCCTACTTTCAGAGGAATGGAAGGACTTTTTTTGACAACTTTATGAAAACACTTCGAGGAATTTAACAAAGTGTTAAGATCTCAGAGAGGAAGTCAAGAACTTTTTTGAGAAACCATTGAGGAACTTAAAAACTTTTCAAGACTGCGTGAATAATAATAGAGAGTTTTAGATCCGAGTTTACCGCGAACCTCTAACCGCGGTTTGCGGTTACCCGTTTGCGGTTCGACGTTCAAACATAATTCGATTTAGATTGGCGGTGGATTAAACAAGTGGATTCTGGTTTATTATTCCATTTAGAAATAGAAGAAAAATTAATCAGTGAAAACAAAAGAAATTTACGGCAACACTGGGTTATCTAGCAGCAAAGAGCTGTAAATTCTTACATTAGTTCTTCTTGCAATTTTACGGCCGCCATTTTGAATCAGCAGCCATGAATGGCACTTGTTTTCAAGATCCAATAGGATTTATCAAATTTAGCATTTCGCCCGAATTTGTGCCTCTGTTAATGTATTAAGACTTGCTCCACAAGATTTTTGTATCATTACGTGGGATGAAACAATAATTATACGCTAAAAGCTTTCAGGTAAATGAAATACGTGAAAACCCAGCTCCCCACGTTGAAAACGCACGTTGTAAACCTCAAACGTGACGCGAAAGACTTGTCACGTGACCTCCAGCGGTTAGAGGTTCGCGGTAAACTCGGATCTAAAACTCTCTAATAACAAAGCCTTTGCATGGCCACAGAACTGACAGTTACCTGAGCCCTCCGGCTGCTAAAAAGTTCTCCTTGAACATCCTTGCATTTGCTCCACCATCTCTGTTTAGTGTTGGCATCAGCTTACTACTTAACACCTGGAAAACAATTATTGAGTGTTGTGACGCTCATCAAAGGATGTGAAAAATAAAAGAAACTGTAACAACTTGCATTATATTTATTTTAGTCAGCAAGATGGCTAATTTTTATCTTGACTATTAAAAGTTCAGAAACAATACAAGGCGGTCTGGAGATACGATTGTCCCTAGCTTTTCCATGTCTGCAGTACTTACTTAAGAGACACTAACTTGATTACGTTAATTTCATCTCTGATTATAATACACGTAAGCAATACCTCCAGGTTATACAGTATTCTGAATGGAGACATCCCAGGTGTGACACATTTAAACATGTTTTGCAGGTTAGCTGTGGATTGCATTCGGTCATCAATATTTCCAGGAGAGCAACTGATGGTATACTGTTCAAGAAAAAGACAAATCAGAATGCACACATGTACAGCACAGGTAGCAAGATCGCTAGTCTACTTCACAGCTTGTGAACAAATCGCAATGCCTCTTTATAAGAACTGAAAGTTTATGTGTCCATACTTCCTCTATGTACTACTGTTTATACGACATACCATAACCATTTTAAACACTCTTAGCCTGTGGCCTATTAGAGCACTCATTACAGACACTTGACTTTTGCCTAAGATGGCGCTCAGTTTTGAAACGTTTTTAAGATTATTCCCGATTCACCGAGTGAATACTGTTATAATAGGGAGTAAGCAAAGACACATCAACCGGAAGTGGAATTTTCACATTCTTTGGCAGTGGTTTTGCCCAAATTTTTAGGCAAATTGTCTCTATGCGCGTAGACACAGCAATACAAATTTGGCAGCGTCAAGACTTATTAAAAGAGAAAAGGCCTCACTTCGATTGATGACATGCGGCCTTACGGCCATTTCGCCCCGGTTACTTAGCCCCCTATTTTAGAACGAGCAATATTATATTTGAGGCTTGCTTGTTTTGGTTTATGGCTTAAAGACAGGGGCACCCAACGAGAATATAGTTCAAAACCACTTAAACATAGCATTGTTAAACGTGTTTTAGTATTTAAACGGTGGATATAGACATATTTTCATCCCCTATAAATTTTTCATCTGTTCGGATTTCCTAGCTGAAAGTCTAATGATCCGAAAACTATAGGGATCAAAACTTACCTGTTCGAAAATTTCAGCCAGAAAAAAGGCTCCCGAAAATTCTAGGTGACCTTTTTAGGGTAAAAATCCGTTGAAAATGGGCAATTTTACCATTTTTTAGATGTTCGAAAATCCTAGGAGAGGCAGGCAAGCAAGAAATTTTACAACAAATGTTCCGAAAATTCTAGATCTCAAATCGTCTTCCGAACAGATATTTTTCCGAAAATTGTCGTTGGGTGCCCCTGTAAAGAGTGAGGAATATTACATTTGAAGCGCACTTGTTTTGCTTTACGGTTATAGAACGAGGAACATTACATTTGAAGCGCGCTAAATGACTGGAAAACAGGAGGCTAAGAAATCGGGGCGAAATGATTAGTTACCGATGCGCGTAGCTCAAAAACGTCTTTGCTTAGACTCCATAACATTACATATTACGCATTGTATAACAAATGGATTATATTTCTTGTGTGCCTCTTCAGTTATAGATCATAGCCTCCCATGCAGACGTTATTATAGATCACCGACGACGTAAAAATGAGGAAAGAACATCAAAGACCACATTGACTGAGCTCTAAATGATTGATGGGCGCTCTTTGCTTTCCTGACTTTTAATAACGTCAATTTATCTCAGAAAAAAGATCACAATTTTGTCACCTGCTGGCTGATAGACTCCAGAGCCTCCTGAACATCAGGATCAGTAGGTAGCAGCATTAACAGCCTCTGCACACGGACTGTGATGGTTGGTTCTTCAAGATCAGTCAGCTGATACAGCTTATCAAATGCCTTACACTCCGTCGCCATGATAACACCAGGCATCATACGCTCCTGATAAAACAAACAAACAAACAAACAAAACAAAACAAGAGAAATTCAGTTTCTGGCATTTTAAATTATCATTAATTTTGTTGAGAAAACTGGGCTCGATTTTGGTCGCTCTCGCGGGTCCTCTTCGTCTTTTTTAGAAGGAATGCGGGCTCATTTCCCAAACAGCGGCTGCTAATTGAGCCTTAAGCAGGGAGGAGGGCTGAGGCACCCCTCAAACCCAGTTTGAGAGGGTCTGAAATCCTCACAAATACTTTTCAAACCGTTTCCAAAAAAAACTGCGTTCAATGTAATAGTAAATTCATTGAGAGGCAGTCCAGCAACAACTATACCCGGTTGCAAAAGCGTTTCAATCAAAGATTGAAAAAGTCGTCTACTGGAAATACCAAACTGAATCAACTGAAAAAAGTTTGGTTTCAACTGGTTTATCACAGCATTTGTTTTCGGTTCTGTCCAAACGCGAAACAAGGGAACACACTTTCAAAACTTTCTAACCTGCTCCAGAGCATAGCTTTGACGATTGGAGCCACTGGCACTGGACTGTAGAGTAAATAAGAACAAAAGACTAGTTAATTTTAACAAAAAATAAGGCACGCTACAAAGGAGCACAGACAAAGATGTCACCCTGGAAAAATCCATACCTCATCAATTCTCATGGCCTCTTGGCTCTAGAAACAGTGGAGTGAAGAAACTATGATTTAGAGAATGTTTTCAACTGATGAACCACAAATGAGGTAATTTATTTTAATGCTAGGATGTAGGGGAAAAATCATAAACTTCTGGTGTTGTACAAGAGAGGTGGTAGGCAAGATTTCATTAGCTCTAAAGTAATGGGCGCAAGAAAGACCTGGGCACGCGAGGGAGACATAGAAAATCAAATACTTCAAAGCACCTGCTACAGAGGCTAGATGATTTCATTTGCCTGGGTTTGATTAATTCGTAATAATAAAGACTTTTTGCTTTCTTTGATATGCAAAGTAATTGATTTTAACAGATGTGTGGTGATATTTGGCCTGTCCTACTTTTCATTTTTTTCGACATACAAGTCACAAATCACCTTTGGCTAACAAGAGGGGGTGGGGATGAGAATGGCATTTACCCCCTCCCCTTCCCTCCCCTCCCCTTCCCTCCTCTGGGTAGAGGGTAATCGACAAGTATACCTCTGCCTCTTCCTTGGTAGGGACTGTTGTCACACCAGATACAGACACTTTGGCGAACAGCAACTGTTCATCTTCAAATTCAAGCTGATAGAGCAGCTTTTGATCTTTAGAGGGTAGAAGCTACAATTGAAAAATAAGAAGAGCTTCAGCCAAACTGCTCAAGGCAAGAGCGTTGAAAGCCCAACACACTATTAAAGTTTTTGGGCCAATAACTCTTGCTTTGTTAACCCTTTAAGCCCCAATATCCACATATAAACTCTCCATACTAATCTTCATACATTTCTTTAAAGAATTAGTTGAGAGAGTTTGTTGACAGATCAAAGCATTTTCTCTTTAGTGATCATTTTATTAACTCTCATAACCATTTCTCTTGGTAACATATGGATATTGTTCGGACAAAATTGATGTTGGGACTTCAAGGGTTAAATCATATTTTGGGAAGATCATGTGTTGGGTGTTGCCTCAAATGTTGTAAGGGGAATGGAGAGAAAAGAACATAGGCCATGTGCTAAAAATGCATGTAGCATAGATTTCAAGAAACATTCCTGACCCCTATCCAAAGAGACAACAAAAAACTGGCATGTGGCTATATTAGCATTATAGAGATGTTAAACAACTTTGTTTTAGAACTAAAAAATGCACATCCCTTCAGTGTTCCAGCCTTTTCCTTTCATTAAGATTAAAAAAAAGAGAAAAAAACGACAAAAATAAAATAAAATAAATTAAAAGGATAGTCTCTTTTCAGGCTTGAACCCAGCATTAATGTTTAGAGGTCTATCCTTTCTCTTTGAAGTAACTGGGCGGGCTTTTGAAAAAGCTCAGATCCATGGGCAGTTTAACAATGTTTCTTTAGCAACAGTATGTTTGAAGGCATGATGGTTATGCGTTTTTAACCATAGACTGACAGTGACAAACAAATTTAATAATAGTCAAACTGTGTGACTGTGACACAGCTGTGCACAGTGATATTGATTGCTATTTAGGTCAAACAGCAAAGGCTATTATTACATACCAGCTTTTCACTAGTTGATAACTGAATCTGCTCATGATTGGTGTTTAGTCGGTTTGCTACTCTGTGGCGAATAGATTTGAGACTTTCATTGGAGTGACACTGAAATATATAAACAGCATAACATTGATTTATTCTCAGCATGAAATAATTTTGGACAGTGTATTTTATCTTTAACACTAGCAAAGTATCAGCGAAGAAGCCTAACACATACCTGTAAAGTAAACTCCTGCCGTGGCAGATCAGAAGACACATTGATTGTGATAGGATAACCATGAAATGAAGCACCATGCGGTAAAAGTGTACGGGGACCCGCATGGAGATCCTGAAGAAAATAAAACTCAATTTTAAAATTGTAAAAAGCAACAGAGGGTGTTACAACAGTAGACTTCTCAAAGCCACTTTTTTTCTTCATACAAATAGGAGGAAATAACTAAAACGCAAAGGGGGGGGGGGAGTGAGGAAGGGTGTATGATTCCCACACCCCTACCCTCATACACTTGACACTTGCATTCAGAGGTCGTTAATTCCAGAAAAGCCTTTATAGGTGATTTCATAGGTTTGGTTCCAGAAAAAAGCATACCTCGACAGTAATGATGTACTGTTCCACCAGCACTAAAAGTCGTTCAATACTCAGCATGACATTTGCCCTACAATAAAAGGATAATGCTCATCAACAATTTACAATTGAACCCCTCTACAATGGCCACCTTGGGGACAGAGGAAAGTGGTGGCCGTTGTAGAGAGGTGGCCGTTAGTGGAAGTTCGACTGTCTTTGAAAGGGCAAAGATTACTTTCTGTGTGGGATTTGAGGTCTGGTCCAAATGGCAGGGTTATGGAGTGTGAGAGGGGAGGCCTCTTCTCCTTTTCTCCTCTTGCACACGTGGGCAAGTGCATCCTTGAAATTTCTCCCTTCACTCTAAAAAAATATCAGGCTATTTGATGTCATACCTAGCTGGAACAGGTGTGATTATCACATCAGGTGTGAGTACAGCAGTTGCTGCTGTAGCTGCAGTACAGGCTGCTTGTGATATAGAGGAGTTTCCCAGGCCACACATCATGCTCTGCAAAGGACCAAGGATGTATATTAAGCACAGTTGATTAGTGGGTCTGGTGTAGCTGCTAACAAACTGACGTAGGCTACTTGAATTTTAAACCCTTTATAACAATTTTGCCGTAAGACAATTTGTTTCAGCGGGAAATACACATTGCAAAGAATGAGTTCTGAAAGTACAACAAATGCAGTTAACCCTATGGCTAGCAGCAAAGAAAAGCAAAGTCATATGCCAGGAAAGTCATTTACAAACCTTATTGGTGTAATTTCAGGGCGTCCATTAAAATTACACAACAGTAACAGTATGCAAAATGAAAAATCTACTGGCTTGGCCCTTTATGGCCCTGCACGCTCATGTGGGAATAAGCCGGGGTAGAAACAATTGAAAAATTAACACAACGTGCTAAAAAGAAAAACAATGGTATAACGCGCTAACAGTTGGCCTTCTTGTCTCTCTGTAAGATAGTATAAGATGGTTCACTTTATGCTTTGCATACCTCAAGACGTTTGTAGCACTCCAGAATGAACTTCTTGTGGATGTTCACAGGATCCTGAATGAAAAACAGCACAACAGAGTTTAACAGATAGCCACTGATCACTACTACCAGGAAGTTCTCTGCATGAATCAACCCACCTTCTTAAGTTTCGGAGAAAGACAAGTGTAACTTAGTTCCATTAATTTCTTGACAGCCAACATTGCTATTTCCTCAGAAGGAACTTCAAGCACCACTCTCCACAGGTAATCAAGTCCAACAAGCTCCATTTTCTCTATTGTGTAAGCATTCTTGTCTACAGTGTACGTACTCCCGGTCTCCTTCATACGATGATCATTGGTGTTGACTTTCTCCAGAAATTTTTTGAAGCAATTAAAACCTGCATGAAATAAGAAAAAAAGGTCACTGTGCTTCAGATAAATAAGCAAGACCAGAAGTGTCTCCTAGCCCTAATCCTTGTCCAAACTGCTGTTCTTGATTGAAGGGTACTTAACTATCAATAAAACAGTGACCTGTAATCGTGACCTGTGGAATGTGACCTGTAAAAGAAACCTCTCCTTTTGTTAAGGTACCTTTCATGGTGAGCCTGTTGGGTTCCAGTTTGAGAACTTTACTTGTGAACATCTGAGATTGAGTCTCTGAGTCCAAGTCATCTTGTCCTTTGTAAAACCAGTCAAAACATGTCTGAAAGAACAGCACCAAAAGGGTATAAATTATATAAATACAAATCTATTTCCCAGTCTAAAAAAAAAACTTTAATCAGGGGGATTTATTTCCCCAGGGAACCTATTCCTGGAGAATAGCTAATACTATTGTATCCCTGGGGCAACATACTCCTGTAGAAATTATTATGAGAAACAAATAGCACCATGTGAAAGTACTTCTGAAGAGGTTTCATGGTCAAAAAGTCAGAATCATGTTACACGTCTACACATTGAAAGTTGGAGCTGAAAAATTCAAGATCAACTAACCTCGCGATCAAACTCACAAGCATCAGCATTAGCAACAAGGCAGTCCCAAATATCTCGAGCTCTGTGCCAATGAAGGTAGAAACGACCCTGTTCCAGAACATAGGCCAAGAATCGTAAATGTATGCTGATAAACTCCTTGTGGGTGTAACGTCCATCCACAAGGGTGTCCTCTTCCAGTGAACCTGGTGCAGCAGCTGCGACAGCCTGCTGATGGCAGTTCACCAGGCTGGTGACAGTCAGTTTGATGATATCATGGCTCTTGTGAAGTTCTTGAAGGTTACCCTAACCAAAACATAAACCAATCAAAATTATATACTCAGATAGTATAGTGCTTTTTACTTGCAAGGCTTTTAGCATGTATCAATAATATTATTACTTTGTGCCATTGATATTCTGCACAGCTGGTTTGTTCACACAGATTTCAACAAACCAACTATGCAGAAAAAATACTCTTCTAGCAGGATAATTTTGTAGGACATCAAAATTTTATGAAGAAGATGATGTGACAAATTTCCTTAATACTTGCAAGAGATTCACACTGACAGACAACGAAACAAGGAGAGAGTTGTTTCAAAGTAATTTGATATAATGTTATTATTATTTTCACCTGATCAAAAAACAGTTAAGCCATAAATATCATATTTCAGAAAGAGTATGTTTAAAACCAAAGTGCCCAGCATTCTGAAGTGCAAATAGAGCATGTAAAGCCTATGGTGAGAAACACTCAGTCTTTGGATCTCTATGGGTTATTAACTTTTTATGTTACACACTCAAGACAACCTTGTCATTTTTGTTGAACTGTTGCTTCACCATTCCTCTGGTAATCTTCAAAAGTTGACGTATAGCTGGAACAATCAACACTCCCTTTTTCATGTCCTCTACACATTTGATGGCGTAGTTCTTCTTGATCTGCTCCTTGACCGAGTAGGAATCACTCAGGATTTCAATGTGAGACTTGAGCGCTTGATCAACCATCTCTGTTGTTAGTGATGGCAGATGTGACAGACTCCAAAGAAGATCAAGGACCTGAAACAAGTAAGAAATCTTACAGCTTTTAACCTTTAAATTTTCAACCCTTTAGGAGAAACCAACGTCACTTTTCTCTTAATAACATCAATACATATATTTCAAGAGAAAAGGTTGTGAGAATTGACAGAATGATCACCGTAAGAGAAAATGGTATTCTTTACAATAGAGCGTTAATAAGCTAAGAAATAATTATTTCAAGACAAGTAAATTTTAAATTCTTCAAGTAAAAGAAAGCTTCATGCACAACCTATCTATTTTACTTCAGGTTTACTTAAGCCTATTTTCCCATGCAACATAATTAAGATTGATTGACATGCTTCACCTTTCTCAAAGCTTAGAAACCGCAAAGTTCGCTAAGTTGGTTTTAAGGATGGTTTTCAAGTCACTTGAAACTTTCTTGAATCGTTTCAACTTTCTGACTTTTATGAGATGCAAAGTAAAGTTACTTGAGATTTTACTTAGGCCTTCACACATGCATTTTTGGTTTAGTAGAACTTAGCAGCTCTCAAGTCTTACTTATCAGGCTAGTGTAAAGACAGCCAATGTCGACTGATGTTTAAAGAAATTAAAGAAATGCCTAGAGATCAGTGTGGAAGATTGGTATGAATATTGAGGCTTGAAGGGTTAAGGGATTAGAAGAGGGAATAATTATATAAAAGGGTTTAAGCAACAACGACGGTGACAGCTACAAAAACGTCACTTAAAAAGTGAATTTCCACTGCCTCAGACGTTATCCTGCTTATTCCATCTCGTTTAATTCGTCAAATACTGGCCTGTATCAGAGTTCAGGAAAAGAAAAGGAAAGCTGTTGTCTTGTGTTCCCATCCCTGCCAAATCGTGAAATTGGGCATTTTCATGTCGTAGTTGTGCAGTGACAGCAAAGAAATGTACAAAAAAGGGTGAAGCACATTCAAGGTTGTTGTTTTGCCAATCTAAACCAATTTCTTTTTTGCCGTTCTCGTTGACGTCACCATTGTTGTTGCTTAAGCTCCCTAGTAATGAAAATTTACTGTCAGATACAGACAGATAAATAAAAGAATAATTATCATGTCTCCCTGAACAATAAAGAAGAAGCTACAAAAAGTTCTGACACAGTTACGGTACAGTGTACAATTTAGGCATTTTCATGAGCTTTCCAAGGGCTAGCAGATAAAACCTTCATTGACCTTCATCACAACAGTCAAATTGAAGTCCATTGTCAGCCATCTTACTTAGCAGCTTGGTCTAAAAAAGCCACAGGCACACCAGCAATGCACTATTTTAACCTGAATACTACAATTCAACGAAATAATAATAAAACATACAGAATGGATAGGGAAAATGCTATACAATAATACAATTACTCTGTACCTTAGTTGTGATCTTTCCCACTCTAGCTTCTTTTCCTATTCGTCCAATGAGAATGAGAAGTTTTTCCTTCATACGATCGCTCTCAGATCCCCAGCTCTGCAATAAAATACAAATTTCCAGACCGTTAAGCTCTTAATTACGTGTGAAAACATGGTTTGAGTTTTCTTTTCCTTTGTCTCTAATGACTAAAATAATGATTTGGAGTCTAACAAAAAACAAGATAAACTAGTCTGTCAATTTGCAATAGTGGACTACAATATCATGACAACAAGATGGCTGCCAGCAATTTTGCCACTTGCCAGCCAAATGGTTGGCCAATTGTCTGTTCACTGCGCCTGGACGGTAGGACATTAGTCAGTTGACATTACTTCAACTGACAGGTTTTTTGGGAAGCTATTCTTTACACCAAGCAACCTACATGTATTTTGCTGGCTGCAGTATTTCACCCACAGATTTCACTCATTTTCTGATTTTACATGTACATGTACATATGTCACAAATGCATCCCTGCATACAACTTCTCAGTTCATTGTATAAGAGGCTCAGCTATCAACAACATGAAATAATAAATAGTTACTACTGAGGAAACAAACCTGTTGTATTAGGACAAAGAGATGATCCAGCTGGTTAGAGTTAAATCTCACTGCCGCTGTAGCCAGGATATTGTGTATGTTGTCTACCTCAGTGTGGTGCTTTCCAACCTTTACAAATTCATCACATTGATCACTTAATTTTGTAACAAAAAAATTATGCAAGGAGTTTTTCAGTGAGTTTTAAGAGAAATAAATTAAATATGTTTCCTTTATTTTGTTTCATTACTTGAAAATAACAGCACTTATGACTGTTGGCAACTTGCTCTTGAACTCTTAATGTTATGATATTCATGCACTCGATGCTGGCTGAATGTATTGCTATAACCAACAGGTGTAACAAAATTGTTGGCATTAGTGTATTTGACCAGTTCATGAGACTAAAGAAGGTTACAGATGCTGCACATGTATGGTTGATTTTGAGCTTAGGGTCTGTTTTATGAACCTGAGCTCTCAAAGAACATGGCTAGTTGATGCATAAATACCTGCATTTTCCATATGGTGGTTAACTCATCCAAAGAGAGCTTGGTACCAAGGAACTCTACAAGTACTTTGATTCGATCACAGTACTGAGATTGATGAAGATTGCCTGCAAGAAAGGTATGGAATCTTAAGCAAAACGTTTGCAATATTCATAAGGAAGACGTTAATCTATGCACTTACACAGGAAATCACCCAGTTCCCATGGCTGGAAATCCCCATGACCCAGCCATGATCCCTGAAAAATTTTTCTAGAACCTGTCATGCTAAATAAGCAGTGAAAAAAGTGGAAGAAAGAGGCTAGTGGAGAAACAATATTTTTGAAGAGCACCAAAATTGGCCAACAAAGGTTGTGACCTACAATGTAAGTGGAATACAACACTCTTGTATCCTATAATACAAAAGCAACAATCTGATAAAATAAAGCTTGCAGTGGAATCACACACTACAGACCATTGGAGAGTGTAGTAGTAGCTCACTATGCTGTTAAGCACTTGTATCACTAGCCCCCTTGCTTGGGAGATTGGGCGACCACACCCTTAAAGACAAAGGTTCTTATTTCATGTTGATAACTCATAACAGTACACATTAGACTGAGGAACCTGAGGTTAACAGTGTGCTCCTTTTTTACACCCATCTCTTTATCAGTGCTCCGTTTACCATGAATTTAGAGGTACTTAAAGTACATCATGGAAAGGAAAGAAGTTGAAACAAAGATTTGAGGTGACAACTAAGAATGAAACTCGAATCCTCCTGCACAGATCGCTTCACACTATGTGCTAATCCATGCTCCTCAAGGACTCTGTGCAGTTCCTGACATTAAAACTTTACCTGCTATTACCCTAATAAACTGCCCTTGCACAGATGTACAAGGGTAGAGAAGTTTAGCTAAATGGTAAACTTACTTTCAAATGCGATAGAGAGAACTTTGTTTTGAAGCAGCCACTCAGTGATAACATCCTGCGAAATGTTCACTTTAGGGTTCTTACTCTTTTCAGAATCATCAATCAACTTACACACCTGATATTTGAACAAAAATAAATTGATTATAGTTAAAATAATTTGTAGAAGTTTAATGTGTAACTTAACCTAGTAAATAAGAAAATGGTAGATAAAGGCACAACGTGAGCTGATCTAACTTTGCAGTTTGTGGATGAAATCAAACCACAGTGTGATTCAGATTAAACGTCTTCAGCTGTACTCTTACAAAATGAAATTTAGCAATTACGTTTGTTAAGTTTTGTTTCAGGACACGCCACAACAGTTTAAAAAGAAAAAAAACAAAGTATGTCTGCAGTGCACGGCAGTCACCTCTTTGAGCGAATTCATCTTGGCATTGAAATGTGGACTTTTGAGCATCTTCAAAGCCACCTCCAGCCTCAGATCATCGACACCTGACACCATGTTCTGCCAAAGTCTCATGCACAACAGTTTAAGAGTTGTTAACAAATCAAACACATCTCCAACAGCCTGTAATTACATAAACATATGATAATCAATTTAAGTATAATAATGATTTGGGTACCATGAGTTGTGACCAATCTGCTGTAAATATGACACAAGAAAAAATATCAGTTTAAAATTCCAAAATTTGCATGTGTTATGGGTCAAATTTGATTTCAGATAAATTTTGACTTAACCTAGTAAGTTGATTCTCAATTACCCTTGTCTCCTATTCCTAGGGGTCAAAGGACATTGAGAAGAAAATTGGTCTCAAAAAATATTATTTTAACCTGAAACCACATTTGACCAGTAACACATATTATACTAAGAGCCAATATCAGACACTGCAATAATACCTTTTGCTTCATGTCTTCATTTGTCAGTTCTTGGATGTATCCTAGTGTTTTTTCAAAAACATCACTGAAGACTTTCTGTAATGAAAAAACAAACATCATGACTGCATACAGGTACAAAGTACATCAAGAAAAAAATCACACGGCAGCGAAACATCTGCTGGTAGTTATAATCAACCAGTAAAATATCCATGCTAAAGATGCAGCAGTATTTTATCATCCCCTTTTAGACTAGCCACCATGTTTCATGAAATAAGAATACTAAAAGGAGATTAAAAGGATTCAGCAACAATAACCTTTCTTAGCACGACAAAGCAAATTATTGTTGTCACTTACTGGCAGCACTTTTGCATTCAGATAACTGGCACAAATTCCCAGGGGCTTCAAGAGTGCAGCCAACATCTGAAATAAAGATAAAACAAAACTTTGAGAACTCTAAAAGCAAAGAAAAATTAAAACAACACACACTTATTGCCTGCTTAAAGTCTTTTTTCTATGACAATTTACTGCTGCATTGTTGCTTGCAGGGCCTTAAGTGTAATTAATGCCCAAACTAAATTTACTGCGGTATTAACTTGTTGAACATTCTTACTGGAGCATCCACTCTTTCTGCCGTCTCAATCTGTTTCTTGATCTCCTCAAATCCCCCAAGCTCTGCAAACTATCACAAACAAAAAAATTATATTTTAGTGTTAAGTACGGCTGAGTTTCTTTTTCTTTTGTCTTTCCATAGGTATTGGAAAAATACGGCACAGAATGAAGCATGGTACCGGTTTACCTTGTTGATCAAGTTTACCAACCAGCCATATGGATCCTGCAACAAGACAAAGAAAACAACAATAAATCACTTTTCATTATTGCCTTAAATTATTTATTACCAAGAATAAGGGTCTGGAAAGTAGAAGTTTACATACTAAACTTTTCACTATGTGTTACATGTAACTATATCTGCTCAAACTTGGCCAATTTTTTAGTTTCAATATTACTGGCCAGAATATTGAAAGGGATAACTGTTACAGGTCAAAATTAATTAAACTTTATTTAAAGATGCATGTTTATTATACTATTTTTTGGTGCTTTAAATAATATATAGAAGAACTATATTTTAATCTCAGTTAACTGCAATAAAGAGTTTTGGCATCTGTCCCCAGATTAACCGTCTGCTTACATAAAGGCCCAAGCATTTTCAACTTCTACCTCATTACATGTACATGTAGCTACTCGGCTTGGGTTCCTAAGAATGAAGGATCTTTGGAAGTAAAGAAAAACAATAAAGAATTGCTTTACTGCTGACTGGGTTTTAGTAGCTTACCTTGTAAGATGGGCTTGTGTAATACACAGAGGTCGGTGGGCAAACAGCATAACAATCATCAGCTCCAAACACTCCTTCAAAGTATTTCTTATCCCACGGTTTTGACCTGTTCTTGAACTGGAACTCTGTTTCTGGATTGAAAGCCTAACAATGATAGCAAGCAGCATGTCAAAATAGATCACTGTTCTACAGTATAGCTAAACTCTTGAAATCTTGATGTTTCTTTCAATCTTCATTTGCCCAATTAAATTGAGAAGATTAAATAAAATGAAAAATTTTAAACCGTTGGCCAAAAAATGGTTTCAGTTACAAAAGATCGCAGATGTAGAGAGCTGATGAACAACAAGAATCTTCTGGCATTAGTTTTGAAAAGAAGTTACTAGCTGGATGTTCTACTGCAGGTCATTAACTAATTCTTGTAGCATCTTGCTTACTATACAAAGTGCACTATTGATCAGGTACCTGTGTCAACAATTCCAGTAATCCAAATGGTACAGGTTTATACTTGAGCCTAGAAGCAATCAACTCCAGAAGCAGATGAAGCATGTCATAAATTCCTTCATGGATTTCTGAACCCCATCTGTGGACTGCTTGTGTTGTCAATAACTATGGTAAAAAATAAAAAACAATTCATGACACCAACACTCCCAAAAATTTTGCATAACAGTTGTTTACAATTTCCCCTGGGTTAACAGTCATCCCCAGAGAAAAAGAAAACAAAGCCTATGCGAAATCTTTGGGGGTAAACAAGGTGTATTATATAGCTGGCAATGTGGAAGTGGTAAACACACACCTTCTTAAAGCACTCAGGTAGTGCTCGGTCCATAAATCTTTTACAGTTTTCATCTGCATCTGCAAGACCTGAGGAACATACAGTTCATGTAGGTTAGTTCAATCTATCCATAGCATCCTAGAGATTTGCAAAAGATTTGTAATCATTATTTTGCAATTGACATAATCAGGGTGTTCATTGGGCATTGGAGGTCGGAGAATTCTCCGCTTACTATGCATATTCCTCAGGCTAACATTCGGTAGCCTATGACTATTTTTTATTCCGACATGGAGCCTCTCTCAGAAAATTCTCCTGTAAACGTTACGACTTTCTCCTGTGACTAGAATTCTTAATGAAAATTCTGCATAATGTAGTTCTAACTTTAAAGTCTATGGGCAAAATCATGTGGTGTGTCTACATGACTTGAACTTCTTCACAACTCAGTTCTTTAATTGCAATTGCCTGGTACCGATACATGTACTATTTCAGTATTTTACAGAGTTACCAAAATCACAAGCAATGATAATTACTGACTGTAAGTCCAGCTTCCTCGAAAAGACGGTAATTCAAGTCTTAGTAAATAAAAAAAGGTCTTATCCTTATTCACCCAAAACTCAAATCTCTGTCTCAGTAAGGCATCTAGATGATGTGCAAATTTTAGCTCAATCAATCAACATAATTTTACCTATCCCCAAAGTAACTTGTCGTCACCAAAACATAAGCAAATTATCACTTTGATTTACAGTTGATGTGATTACAGCCTTAAGTATCATTCCGATAAGAATCATTTCAATAAAATCTTTTCAAAATCTGCAGTTGCCACCACACTTACATGCATGGCTTGTGCCAAATCAACTTGATGTTTTTATTTCACCTTGAATGATTGATTTGTTTCAAAATGTATCAAGTTTAAAATTCTCTCTCCAACAAACACCAGAATGTATTTATCAAAATTAACTTTTTGAGTATTCTGAATGCAAGTCTGATGAAATAAGATACTCCGCATGAATATTTTAAGGCTATTGCGATTACCCAAACAAAAAGTTTTTGAAAACAAAATGAAAATAAACTGACAGTGTACGGTATTTCATTTTTGGCCCATCCCACTTCCTCTCACCTTCCTGAGCAAATCTCGCAGAACTTAGTAAACACTTTCCCAAAGACTCCTCTCTCTTGTAAGGAATAGACCAATTATCTATAAAAACTCTGTCCTCTAACTCGCAAAGGTTTGTAGTAGGAAATTCCAGAGGTATGTCCATATTTTCAGTTTCGTCTTTGCCGTGACTAGCTCCGTTTAGAGACATTCCCGCAGGATTCATAGCCTCATCGTAAGATGGTGGAGGCTCGCCACTGGCGTCAAAAAATTCGCTTTCGTCGTTATCTCTGGAGTCTACAAGAGGAGGGATATCCATTCCTCCGTCATCTAAGCCGTGTTGTGTTTCCGTGTCTTTAACTTCCGGGTCTTCGAAATAAAAACTTGTACGAGTTTCCTCCCCTGTTAACAACGCAACAGCATCATTCAAATCATTCTTGGCCAAACTGAGCGCTTTGCGAATCTGTGCGCTGTCAACAAATCCCATATTGAGAAGAGTGTTAACGTAAGCTTCGTTTGGTTCAACCATATTGATGATAGTGCCGTAAATGAAAGGTTAATGGCATTTACAAATCAATGTTTCAGGTTATAGAGCTGTCCGACGCCATGTTGAATTTGAGGCCAAAGCCCGGATGCAAGAGATGAACGAGCGAGTAACCTGGTAACTAGTTTTGTAACCATAGGATCCAGGCTTCGAACGTGAGAATTCCAGCTGAGTTCAAGATGGCGGCGTTAAGGAAGCGAGGTGCGGGTACTTCTTCGCCTTTTCAAGACTCAAAGGAAGGCATTGGTGATTCTTCTTCAGTTGACGCAGATTCAAAGAAGATCACTTCCACAAGATGGATATTCTTCTTCATTTTATTATTTTATGCATGTTCTCTCTACACCGGTTTTAAAGCAACGCGCGCGGTTCCCGCGCCCAAAAAAACAGCAGAGAGCGATGGAAGTGAATTTGTGGAAGAAACAGCTCGGCGGCATCTTGAAGCAATAACATCGTTTGGTCCACGACCTGCTGGGAGCTACGCAAACGAAGTTCAAGCAGTGAATTTCATCGTTGGAGTTTTACAAGAAATTAAAGAAACTGCAAGAGAAGATGTGATCATTGAAATTGACATCCAAAAGCCTTCTGGCAGTTTCGATCTAGGATTCATAGCCGGATTTACAAGCGTTTACCGTGAAGTTACAAATATTTTGGTTAGAATAACGATGAAAAAAAATTACCCTCCGAAAAATACGGTTCTCGTCAACGGCCATTTTGATAGCGTTCCTGGGTCACCCGGTGCAAGCGACGATGCTGTTAGTTGCGCTGTGATGTTAGAAATCTTGAGATGCCTTGCCGAGACTCAGAACTTTGATTTTGACCACGGTGTTGTGTTCAATTTTAATGGAGCAGAGGAGAATGTATTGCAAGCAAGCCACGGATTTATCACGCAACACAAATGGGTTGATACAATCAGAGCTTTTGTGAATCTGGAGGCAGCAGGAGCAGGTACAATGTTAAAGGGGGGTATAAGGAGGTGAAAAAAAATTCGGCAAAATAGACGGAGTGGGCATAGTGCGGAAGTGAGGAGGAGATAAGCTAAATTTAGAGGAGGCACTTCTCCTGCCAGTTATCCTCTCTGCAACTCACTATGTGCGCTTTCGGTGCACGAGAAGAGGGCGGAAATTTCTTATGCTCTGATGCCTTTAAATCTTGAGACCCATGGTGCATACAAGACAGGAAGAGATTCGGGACGAATTATAGAGAAAGCACTTCGTATGGTGCACACAAGAAAAGAAGAGATACATGTTGGGGAGAGATCACTTTCTATGCTACACTGTCTCCCTTATAATACCCTGGAAGCCCCCGGATAGTCCAGGCACCCAACCTCCATTTAGCAGTGCAGTTGTTAACAGGTCTTTTTTGGGGGAAGGAGGTCTTGCTTCTCTCCCTGGAGTTATCTTTTCGGTTCTAGATTTTTGTCCCCTTTTGATCATCCTGTCACCTTGGAACCAGGCTTTCCCACTATACACGCTCAGTGTTACATAATACATCACTAACCTGCAGTGAAGGCTGCTTTGTTTTTTACAACACTTCCTTTTTATGTAGCCTTTACGAAAGCAACATTAATTTTGGTACATGTATCTATTAATCTTAACTGTTCGGTTGTTACTCAATCAAAAGGTGGACGGGAAATAGTTTTCCAGGCAGGGCCTGATCACCTCTGGTTGATAAAAACATATGCTGAAGTGGCACCTCATCCATGTGCACAAGCTCTGGGTCAAGATTTGTTTCAGAGTGGAATAATTCCTAGTGATACTGACTTTAGGATCTACAGGGACTTTGGACAAATACCTGGCAAGTATAAAAAAAAAATAGTTGATCTTTAAACAATGGATCTCTACCATAGTTTCCTTGGCAACAGTTCAGTCTGGAGTCACGCAATGCTCCCTATCCTATGGGAGCAGGAAGATTGCGTGACTCTGGCCCCTGTGGCTGCGAAGGAGACTTTCTCTATCCCTGAAAGAAAGAGATTGAAAAAGCATAAGCCTCAAGTTGACTTTTTAAAAAAAACCTACACAATGTACCTTTTAGCTTGATATGAGTGCATGATTTTACAGTTTTGCAAAAAAAAAAAAGGCTTGTTAGAGATTAGAGAAGACAACAGATCCTTTGTATTTTACTTGAAGTTTTTTAGCTTATATTTTCATGAAGTAACATTAAATTTTTTCTTGTTTGAATGACTAGGAGTGGACCTTGCTTACACTGCAAATGGTCACGTTTACCACACAAATTATGACACTCCTGCTGCAGTCACACCTGGCTCCATTCAGCGTGCTGGGGATAACATTCTAGCACTTATAAAAGGCATTGTTAACTCGCCGTATCTGGCTGATCCTGGAGAGTATCGTCATGGTGCAGTGGTGTTCTTTGACTTTCTTGGCATCATCATGGTGCATTATCCTGAGAGAATTAGCCTTGTGATAAATGTTTTAACTGCTTTTGTGGTAGTTCTTTGTCTGATCAGAAAGTTCCTGGGATTTCCTGGAAAGAAAGATGTAAAGAAGGGTAAGAAGATGTTTAGTACAGTGTACATGTGTGAGCACTATCACTTTCTGTTAAATTCAGAAAACTGCCAGAAATACAATGTATCTCTGGAATTGTTATTACTGTATGTTGCAAACCCAATCAAAGCCTTGTGGGAGATATTGAAGGAATTCTGCAGTCAAGCCAAATTGTTTTGTCTCTATACTAGAGACCACAGCAGCTGGAGGAAACTTTGTGTCACCTACTACTTGGCAGATGACTTAAGTTGTGATGACGATGGCAACGATAATGTATAAGATGGCCTGTTAATAATCGTTGATTGTTGTATATTTTTCAGGTCAAATAGCTCAACAGTCATCTTTGTCTTCTCTTCTCTTTTCAATGTTGGTTTTACTGTTGTCGTGGCTGGTTGGCATAGCAACACCTGTTGTCTTATCCTTATTACTTACATATGCTGGGCAATCAATGACGTGGTATTGCCATCCTTACCTTCTTTTGCCACTATATGCTGCTCCCTCTCTGCTCGGCATTGGTTTAGTCCACGTTGCAGCTAGGAGAAGACTTCTGACAAAGGTGTGAGTCTTACAGTATATATGTATATTCATAAATAGGAAATTATTTCCAGGTAGCATTCATCATATCCTTCTTGAACAAAAGCAGCTTAAAGCAAAAAAAAAATAGAAAAAGATCCTTATAAGGACACTTTGATACAGGCATGAACAAAATCTGGATTGGACTGGACTGGATCAACCAACAGAAGGTTAGGGGTAAGGGTTTGTATGAGGGTTGATCCAATCTAGTCCAATCTAGGTCTTTGTCTATGGTCCTTATATGGACACTGTAGCCTGTTCCAGGCGTTCAGATGGTGGGGAGTGAGTTAAATTGTGCACGGCGAGAGCAAAAGGAAAACGAGGGCAGACTAGGGTGAGAGTGAGGGAAGGCGGCCTATGAACATTCTAAACAAAGGGTCATTCCGTTATACTGTATTCCAGTATACCCTCTTATTGGTCGATTATGACACCTTCTGTTAACATTTGAGTGCTGGTAATGTTACCTTCCCTTTTTTGCCCTGGTTTCCCTGTATTTTTCCCCTCATCAATTTTTGCACCCTTGCCATACTATCTGAACACCTGGAACAGTTCCCTTACTATTAAAGTACCTGTTTACATGGAGGTTGGGGAGCCCAGGTAAGTGAGGTCAGGTGGGGTAACCCGCCTGCCCATATAAGCTTTCATTTTCATTTCATCGCGTTTACGTGATAGGTGGGGTGACCCACTGTGGATTACCTCACCTACCTGAGCTGGGGTCCCCCACCTCCATGTACAGAGGTTCTAATAATCTTTCTGTGACATGTGCTGTTTTAATAGAAATTGGCTCTTTGTAGTGAAACCATTAATTTGTTGAGATCATTTTATTTTTTAAAAAATTTTTAGAGTAAAGCTGAATATGAGAAAGAAAAACCAGCGACAGTCTCCTGGGATGAAAGAAAATCCAGCTGCCTTTCAGCAAGGGAAACAGAAGTGTTTTATGCAGTGCTTCTACTGTGGACAATAATCCTGTTAGTGATGTCCTTCTATCGTTTGGCCTCGGCTTACATACTATTAATTCTAGTGATCTTTCCATTGATAGTACGGGTTCTAATTTTCGACAACTTCATTGCAGCGAAAATAGCCAATCAGAACTTCATAGAAAAATCTGTACTAATTAACATAATAGCTTCACTAATACCTGTGAAATTTTGTGCTTACTTATTAATCTGTGGGTTTGATGTCCTTTTGCCAATCATGAGCCGTTCAGGGACTGACACGCCACCAGATTTGTTCATTGCTGTTCTGTGTGCTTCTGCAGTTGTCACATTGACTTCGTATATGGTGAGTATTTATCTAGTAAAATCCAACTAGCTGGTCAAAAATATCGAGACAAAACAACTTTAGCTGGTTAAAGCTAGACTTAATGAATCATTTTTTTGCCACCAAAAAGCCAGCACTTTCGCTACTCGTGGGGTATAACATATAGCCTAGTAGTAGCTCAACCAATCAGAATGCAGCATTGATAATAGACCACTAGTTGGATTTTACTCATTTGGATTAGTTAGTGCCAAAGGCACAAGCTTTGAGGGCGCAAGAGGCATGCTCCCTGATAAAACTTTAAAATTTAGAGCCTCTGAAATGACGGCCTGAGACAATTTTGTCAAATTTTTATCACCATCCTGGTAGTTTTCTACACAAGAAATTTTTGTTTGCTTTTTAGCACAAAGATAAGAATTACTTTTGTAAAATGAAAAAATTCATGGTGAATTATTTTTGGTGGGAATTTAGCCCACCCAATGATAGCTGTCAATCTGCAGTCCCCAGAAAGTACTTTTTGAGGACCTAATTAACTTCAGTGGCAGGCACACGTCCAAGTTTAAGAAACTTTATTCACACATGCACAGCTTACCTGCAAATTGAACCCTTTATTGTTGCAAAACCACAAAAGTTAGAACTCCAAGTCTCCCTCTTGCGACTTCATCACTCGCTTGGCCGCTGTGTTATTAGAATGATGTTGCTTTAAATACTCTTCTTGCTCACCCCAACTGTTATTTCCATCCTTTTTTTTAGGTTAGCACTGTGTATGTCATGGGCGACCTGAAACTTCCTGCGCTATTCCTCTTCCTTGTCTCAACACTTGCAATTGTAATATCTCTTTTGGGACTTTCATTTCCTTACTCAGCTGTCAATCAATGTCCTAAAAGGGTTTTCTTTCAGGTAAGCATGCTAAGAAAATGGTGCAAACCTCCATACAGTGGTGTCCAGGCCTTGAGACCCATGGGTCGTGATTTAGTCAAGACCCTTGTGGCCCTGTTGCTTGATCCACTTGGGTACTATATACACTGTTAATTATAGCCCAGTGTGAGAAAGGCGTCAGCAAAACTGGGATTGGACTGGACTGGATCAACCCCTGTAACTCACTAAATGACAAAAGGTAAGGGATAGAGTTGCTGGGAATGAACAGATGCAGTCCAATCCAGGTTTTGCCAACGGCCATGTGAGAATAACATTCTTTGCCCCAGGTATAGTAAAATGTATGGAACAGGATCCTGCAATTTATTAAAAATGGCTGGTTCCGTAAGCAGGCAAGATCAGTCGAATCCCTTAATAATCTTTTTGGCTCCTGGAGTGGGCAAGATAGGCTGGTTTTGTGTGCTTGGGATTTCCGTCTTTGTCCTGCTAGGAAAGATTTTGTTTTGTCTTGAAATCACAAGTCTGCCTCGCTATTATTTTATTGTTAAAAAGGTTTAATAAGTTAATTCAACGCTACTTTCTTCTATAATGGCCTTACAACCGTAACTTTGCTTTTGCCATAGCATACATCAAGAGAATTTTACAACAATGAGGGGGATACTGTTCTGCAAGACTCAGGTGTATGGACCACTCCTCTAGATTATTTAGGAATCAAGCCATTTTCTGATGTACCCATGTTTAGAAATGCCTCACTGGCACCACAGTATGGAGTCTATGGAGGCTTTCCTTATTACTTACCTTTGAGGCAGTTAATGAGGTATGTTTCTTTGTGATAGTGACGTATTACCCACCAGCGTTCAAATGTCAGGGGTCTTGAAAACAAAGACCCCTAATACCCCTAACAAAGACCGCTAAGTCCTTCTAAAAACCCTCAACAAATGGCTCTGAACTTCATTGATTAGTATAAGGTTAGGAAACTGAGTGAATCAGGTTCCATTTATTAAAAGTCATTATACTGGACAAACTGACCTGAAAGTTGATTAACTCAGTTTCCTAACCCTAATCAATAAAGTTCAGAGTCATTCGGTGGGGGTTCTTAAGGAGTCTTAGCGCTCTTTGTTTTCAAGACACCCTTCAAATTAATGTCTGTTTAAAACTTCACATAGAGCGACCCTGCTTTCTTACAAATGTAATTGAAACGTATAATTTTGTTGATCACAATATTGTGAATCTTTCTTGAGATGATCAATTCCCAGGTACTGCATCCAAGTTCAAAGAGAGACATATTAATATACAGTATACATGTAGTGTTGGTGTGCGTGTTTCATACACTCATTAACCTATCGTTTGATGTCTTTTAATGACATCTCTGCTGCTGTTATAACCTGGGAGCAAGCTCTCTTTCAGCTATCCCTTTGCTTGACTAAGGAGGCTGGGAATAGAGCGGAGAGAAAGCTTGCTCCCAGTCAATTGCCATGATCATTACTTCTAAGCAAAATAGAAATTTCCCACATTCTGCTCCAGTGAGCTCTTAATTGAGCCTGAGAAAACAGCCGACATTCTGTGAAGCCATCACTGGTTTCGTTGCGAAATGATGTCTGAGGAATGAGTTTAGAAATTCCATACTGATGATTTGTCATTACCTAGATCTGGGTAGCATATATAAATATAACTGTTTGAGTTGGTACCCTTGTTCACAAGAATGTGCCAGCAGTCTCTTTCATGGTTTTTTTTTCTTCACATTTTTATTTGTTGCATTCTTTTATTAAAATAACTGAAATAAAGCTTTAAAACTTAACTTGGCCTTTCCTTCTCCATAGAAACTCTTGGTATATTCCTGGCCCTCCACCAAAAGTCACAACATCACAACTAGCAGTAACACTTTTAGCAAGAGAACGGCATGATAAAATATACAGCTTTAAATTCTCAATATCAGGTCTGTAAATCATGGTAGTAAATATCTCAAGTTTGTTGGTTTTAAACCATAAAGCTCTAGTCTCAACTTTGATTGTTTCTGATTAATTTAAATTTTAAACTAACTTTTTAATAATCTAACACTTACAAATTTAAGTTAAGTTGTAACAATGTAAACATGCAACATAAAGGATATTCTGCTGTCTTCAAAGATGGCAACCACAGTTTCGCTAACTTCACTTCCTTGTAACCTTGGATGTAGTGAAGTCGTCAAAATATCTAATAAACTTCTCATTAACTGTCTTTGGACCATGTGGTGTATATTCATCTCCAACAAAATACAAAACAATAATTGATTGGACTCATCATGATTTATTAAATAACTTCTTTTGTTTATTTCAAAATAGGTCCTGATCACATGACTGTGTATCTGTCTCCCTCGAGTGGTGTGAATTTGCTGTCTTCATCTCTAGGAACTCTTTATCCCATTGAAGATGAAAATGGGGGAGACCGAGTTACGTACTTCATTTACTACTCTCACGGAACTGATGTTGGACCATGGGAGTTCTCTCTTGAGTTGATAGTATGTCTGTTACTGTGGTTACACTTATGACACAAGGATATGAACAAGCAAAATATCCAGATACAGTGGCATGTTGATCATTGGCCTGAGGGTGTTAGTCTGGGAAGGGAAGTGGGGAGGGGAAAAGGATGGCAGTCCACCGCTCAGCTTGCTTTGCTCGCCGATTTTTTAATGCTGTAGGTTTCACTACATTTTTTGCTATTTTTTCCCCACAGGGGAGTTTGGTCCCAGGCTAGTTGATCACTAGTGCCCATTGTCCTGACAAAGATGCAAAGATGCTGCTTGCATTTGCATAGGTTTAATTAAGGCTAAAATAAGTAAAAATTTTACATGGATGAAACTCAAGATTATTTTTCTCATACTATCCTGCCATTGCAGCAGATTGAACTATGTTTTGGACCCAGGGATTGTCCTTTACTTCTAATTAAAAATTAACCCATTTTGCTACTTTCATTCAGGTTGAAAATGGAAAACAGAACCAAAAATCACCCTCATTTCATGCCCCTTAAAATTTTACCTGGCACTTTGAAATCTTAGTGGCAGCCCTGTATTACTACAATGGTGACAGACCGGGAGACCGGGTGTACACCTCTATAAAAGTGACGGGAGTGCTCATCAGAAAATTTTGAGAACACCAAAAAAGTGCACCAGAATCTTGCTTTATGGGCGTGTCCCAAATTCATTCCCACCCCTACGAGGTACCAATTCAACAATAATATATAACTGTCACTGCAAATTTTAATAGAAATAAAGATAACTTTTGAAACACTTTCTTCTCAAGGCCTTTTTGAAAGTATTGTCAAAAATGTTTATCCTAATCTGTCATTTTAGGTTTTAGCACCCTAAGCAGTACCAATCCACAAATTTAAACTCCTCCAAGGTACGACAAGCACCCGCGTCACTTCTATAGGGGAGTACACATAGCAGTTTTCACAGGATACAAAATCTGCCAAAGTTATTTGCTACCAACAGGAGCACAATATTTATTTTATGTATTTATTTTTCAGACAGAACAAGAACTGCCTGCTAAAAGCAGCCTGATGGATTTTGCAGTTGCTGCTCAATACATTCATGGCAAAGACTCATCTTCACCAGTTCTCAGGGAAGTCAAGAAGGCTATCCCTGACTGGATTTTTGCTAACACTTGGGTAGTCACATACAAGAGCTGGTCTTTCACTTTGTAAACATTGTCACAGTCTCTAAATAAAGGGCATAATTTGGCCTTACTTATGCTTTAGATTCCAAGTGTTAAGAGGTCTTGATCTCCTTACACTTTTGACGCAACAAATACAAAACTGTAGGATGGATGACCTGACATCACCCGTTTCTGTTTTCTTCCTTTGAGAAAAGGATAGCCAATTAAGGCATAATTGTAGGGAATATCGAAGCAGTTTAAGTTTCAGTTCTTACAACCTGTTAGCCTTCAGGCAAGCTCTTGCCTCATGAACATCTTGTGGTATTCATCCAGGTACAGAGCTTGCTTGTAACCTAACACTGTTTAATAAAAATAGAAAAACAGATTATAGAAATTCTTTGTTATTATAATGGAACATAATTATCTGAATTTAAAGATTGTTCTGAAAAATTATCTCCACAGAAAAGAAGATTTTATTGAGGGATTAGATTCAGATTTTTTTATTCATTGCACTATTTCAATAGTTTACTATTAGGTATATTTATAATAATTTTTTTTTATTAATTCAGCTGTACATCAGTTATTACGATAATAGTAACTATTAATATTTTAGATGACAAAGAAAGAAAAGTTGTTAGAGTAAATCAAGATGAATTTTATTTACATTGTACTATGTACAAGGTGCACATTATATCAAACTTTACTCACACACTGAAAACATTGAATAAAAGAAGTTATTAGCAATATTTTATATTTTCGTCTTTTCTTTTTTTATTCTGCTCTGCAGGGCTGTCATCAGCAGATGAGGATCGGAATGTTTCTAGTGTATTCATGATCAAATGCAACAGGCAATAATTTTCACGTACAAAAAATATGGACTGTTTCCAGTCTAAAAGAATAGTTCTTTCGATGCCTTAAAGAGATTGCTTTAAACAAAACATCTATCACTTTTGCATTCATGCCTTTAAATGGACACCCTGTGAGCAGAGGCTGGATTTTCACGTGTAAATTGGTGTGCTATATTTTGCACACCAACTCACACTGTGCAAATGTAGCCTCTGCTTGCATAGGAGTAAAATAAAAAATGGACGTTTTTTAAACAGAATTTTCCTATTTCAACTTTTAGAATGGTATCTCTCTACCAACACTGACAATAAATATTTAAATAAATGTTTGTTTGTTATATTTTAAATAATCAGTGGACTGCTGTACCATCAACACTGACATTATGAACGAAAATAAAATGATCAAAGCCACTCTTAATGAGAAATTTCAGATGGCAAGCTGATGTGACAGGAATCTAAAAAAGAGAGAAAAAGTTTTCAGTATTGATCATTGAGAGAGAGAAGTTAGTATGCTATCCACATTAAATTTCTGAAAGCTTTTGACAGGTAATAAAGGAATGAGCTTAAGCAAACATTTAATGTGAGTTGAATTCTTTTAGACCACATCTAAGGTTACAAAGAGAAATGAAAATCTTTCATCATAATTATTTCATGTCCCTCAAAAAATTGTTCATTTAGAACTTCTATTTCCAGTATGGCATAAAAGTGAGCCAGCAAGAGTGATGCACAGGCAAAGTTATTCTGCTCATTCAAACAATCTCTTGACATTCTTGTTGCCATTACAATCCTCAGTTACTTAGCAATTCCCTCCCCCACCACCACCACCACTCCCTACAACCTGAAGCTACACTGTATTGAATTCTTAAGCTGTGAACTACCTTGATTTCATCCCTCTGTAGTTGACCATCTATGTTTTCATACTCTGTAAGGAGAAGAGCGCCCCAGGAAATGAGTATTAGGAAGTTAGCTGCATCAAAATGGTCAAACATTCAGATACTTCTGTATTGTTAAATAAAACTATACCTTTATCCACAAGGGGTTCAAAATCTACTGGCTCTGTCTTTGTGCTTTTCTCTATGCAAAGGTCTTTCACTGTGAAAAAAAGTAAATAATATTATTATCGTATGTTGGAGCAATCAGCCACTATGTTTCATGTGGCAGTAGCTCAAAGGCCAAATTCTTCCTTCATGTTTGAAGGAAATATGTACAGTTTTCAAGTGGAATCAAGCAGTTTATCAGAAATAACCTTGAAAGTGCTTTTTGCAAGCGAGCTAAAACAACGTAAAACCTCAAGTCTGAGGTCAAACCCAGTGCCGGATCCAGACCTTGAGATAAGGTGGGGGGGGGGGAGGGGGAGGGGCTGTCATTCAGAACCTTAAATAAGGTGGGTCCAGTCTCTAAGAAAACTTTTTTTGGCCCTTTAGGCCTCAGTTTGGTCTAAAAATTAGGGGGGCAGGGCAGGCCCCTTCCCCGGATCTGCCCATGAAACCTACACTGCTCTTTAAACCAACACCTGGCTTGGAGGACCAGAGTTAGTTCCCTGGTTAAGAGGATGGCCTATGTTACAGAGGGTAGACTTCATGGGCAAACATTCTCATTTGATTGGCAGCTGCTTATTATCAATCTCTGGTGGTAGATTAATAGGTTCACTGACAGGGGAGGGGTAAAATCCCTCCACACTGAAATGTCAAACCCCTTAGAAAAAAAAAACCGTGGACCCCACCCTCTCCATAAAGGGGAAACAGTGGAACCTCAATATAATGAACCTCTGGATAATGACGTCCTCGGCATAATATTAGTTTCTTTACCCCAGTAATATACCTGCCAACTTTTTCTGAGAGATAAGCGTGAGATTTTTATCCTGGGAGTGCTGGGATTTTTGAAGACGACACAATCATTTCCGAAGATCCCCGAAGAAGTCCGAAGTCTTCCCAAGAAGTCCGAAGTCTTCCGAAGTCTGCCGAGGGCAAAGTTATCGCGAAAACGCTTATCCACAAAATCAGAGATCGCGAGGAAGATATTGTCATTTATTCATTTTACACATGGTTTTCGTTCCTTACATGGGTCTGAGTTAACATATTCTTGGAAATTGTGTCAAGCAAGACAGCAACAACTCAAATTTTTCAATCAGGCGTGAGAAATTGGCTCGCAAGCTTGAGCCGGCGTGAGATCGGAGTTTTCAACCCGCAGGCATGAGACTCACGCCTAAGGCGTGAGAGTTGGCAGGTATACAGTAATAGTAATACATATGAAAAAGAACCTCGTTACAACAGAACCTCATTAGAGCAAACAAATTTAGCCAGTTCCTTGGCCCTTCGTTATATTGAGGTTCCGCTGTGTTCAAGTGTATTCTGGGATCTTACCATTTGCAGATGAGATTTTGATGTTCCCTATACTCATCAAGGTACTGAAGCTGATGATGAATTCTTGAGGAAACAATCCTGTTGTTGGCCAAAACGTCTCTAAGCTTCTACAAAAAAGAACCAAAAATAATAATAATAAACCAGACAAAAACAAGAATACTGTATATTTTATCATGGCCATCCACGTCGCCATGACAACAATGCAAATTGCAGACTTTTCATCAGGGCCTTAGAACTTTTAATAAAAGAAAATGCCTACCTTACCCTGTCAAATTTTTATTTGTAAGAAATAAAGAAAAGACATTTTCAGGGGGCTTCATGAATAGAAAAGAGCTTAAAACGTTCTTGGCTTCTTAATAATCTTTTCAACTTCAAATTCGCGAAATCATAAAGTTACCAAACGACCGCAAAACTTACCCATCTATCATGTTCTCTGGTGGATAATTTTCATCATACGATGTTGCCAGGGCGATAGTCGCTCCAGCACTACTCAATGCAACGTCAAACATAATTGTACTGGGAGGTTTTGACCTAAAAACTAGCCTTATAAATGGGCAATTTCCAAAATCCAGACATACCCGCTAAAGATTTCATGACGGCCAAAAACACTGGGGTGAGATATCTCCTCTGCTCATGCTCAGTTTTTGAAGCCGCTATTCTTTTGCGGGCTCAATATCAAGATGGCAGACAGACGACTGGACAGACGGATCTTCGGAGAGATCATGTTCCCCTTAAGTGCAAGACAGTTTTCGTCAACGTTCCTTGATTTTTGCCGTAATAGTCGAGGATATGGGGAACGATGTGAGAACTGAAGATAAGGATGCAACAAAAAGACTGTTAAGCCCTGCCTCAGCTGTAACGGACAACGGTGCAACTAACAAATGTACCATTCCAGTTTGTCATCCGCTTGGCAACATAATGTGGGACTTCGTTAGACAATGCACTGTAGTGGAGAGTCAGTCGAGAAAACAGGAGACTGACCCTTTGCGTGCATGTGGTTGGAATTCTCAAAGAGAATATGACTTCATAAACTATAATGCATGTCAAAGTGATGATGATGATGACGATGAGGATGTTGGTGGTGGTGGTGTCAATGATGATGACGATAACGATGACGATGACGATAACGATGATGATGATGATAATGATGATGATGATGATAATGATATTGACAATAGCAGTGATTCGTCTCAGAATATATTTCACTGTGGCATCGAGCAAGCCAGCCTTTCAAAGGAAACCAAGTTGAGTTCAGATTTATTAAATGAAGTGGAAAACAGGACCAGGGTTGATAATAATTTCATTCTAGATGATGGTTTGTGTGAGGTAGAGAAAAACATACGCAGTGAAGAACTAGTATCAGCTTACTGGCCCAGCGGGGATAATGGTATAAGTAGTGATTTCTCAAATGGCAAGCATCTTTCTGGCAATTCAGTCAGAAAAAATGGAAAAAATTCAAATGAATCATTGCTTTGTTACAAGACAGAAATGATCGAGACATTACCTTTGAAAAAGCACGGAAAATACCATGGGAGGGCTGTTTCACCATCTGTGACAATGAATGTCAAATTGGAAGCTCTAAATTCAATTTTAAACACTGAAACAAGACTGTCAAGAAATGTCACAAATGAAGATGTGGATATCTATGGCAAGGTTGCTATTTTGTATGGGTCTCAGGAAACTGACAGTTCTCATATTTCAGTGCTTGAAAGTGAAGTAGTTGGTCTGTATGACTACATCACAGGGATTGTACAAATATTAGAAGGACACAGGTGCAGACATCAGGATAACCATGGTGGCTGCGAGGTATGAGGTTTCTTATGCTTGGGACTAGGTAGATTCCAGTTAGAATTATTGAAAAATTAATTCCATCAGTCATAGCTGCCACTGGTAGCAAATTCTAAAATGCATTCCTGCAGTATAATGGACAGTGAATTTTGGACAAAGACTACCCTTCTTGTTGGTCAGATTGAAGAAAAAATGAACTCAATTTTCAAATAACAAATTCACTTTAATAGAATCTATGGCCCTAAATTTTAATGTTTTGGGGGCATTCCAGAAGAAAATTCTAAATTTATTTCATGTATAACTGAACTTCCAATAATAGATATTGGTCTTGATCAACCCTCCCTACCCCTGCAAGGAGGTGAGTTATATCTGTTTAGTCAGCTACATTTAGTGGTTTCTGTTTCTTGTTTAGAATACCAGTACCAAAGACCCCTTACCATCAAGGGTTAACACATTTGTGCATCTCAGTGCATTCCTGGACCAACGTCATCAAATAACTCAAACCTCATTAACAACAACAGCCAGCACTGGCCCTGTGGCCTGGTTACTGACCTCCCCTGCCCTTGGCGTTACACTTGACTGGCAAGTAGAAGAACATTTCCATAGGCTAATGCAGGAATGGAACTTCCAAGAAAAAGAAGAAGATCAGAGAGGAAGGAACACCAGGTTTCTATCACAGTGGCAAAGTGTGTTAGTAGTTGTTGACGAATATCGACAACTTGAAAAGGGCATTCCACAAATTGAAGTCTACAAACTCTGCTCAAGTGGAACGATAAAGCTTGTGAACTTTGACGTAAATGAGTGAACCACTCGCTCACTTGGAGGGATGTCAAACACATTTAAAAATATTTTCGTACATATTTACAGCTTACACTCATGTTTGGTTGCTTTTAGCATATTAAACTGGCCGGCACTCTCTAAAAAGATCAGGTTTACAAAGAAATCTGTAGGTTTTTCTCTAGTTTTCCTATCTTCCTCTTATTTTGCTGATGATTACACAAGACGTCGGAGGTCAAGGGACGTTTTCATGACGATGCCAGTGTGGTAGTTGTCCATAGCTGCTTCAAGTCCCTGATTAATAGCAGCAAGAGCGAGACTCATTTTTTTAGATGAAAGGGCTGCAAAGAAATGGAATAACTTTTTCTTTTTTAAGAATAAATTTCTTTATTACGTTCCATCTTTTCCTGGTAAAATATGACTGTCTGCAATAAGCCACCTTAGTTACACATACAGTGTAGTCATGAAAAAATGTAATGTAACGATAATGAACTAATGAATCTTAACGCAAACACGCTCTTCTTGACTCGATGCACCTTTTAGAAGACAAGCTCTGTGTATTATGCAACCAGGTACTCTGATATTGTAATCAGAAGTCAAGATTAAAATGCTTAGTTTCTGTTGATGGTGTTCAGCTGCCTATGAGAAGTGTTGGATGTTCTGGCGACAGGTTCTATACCCACTGTTCATCTTCCGTGGATATCTGCGATAACAAGCTCAATCTGCTTTTCTGCTTTTCTTGATAAGCTGCAAATAAATGGAATATTTATTTTGAGTGAAAAATATCCATTTTCGTCGTTAATAGCGATTTTCATGATCAATAGTACAGAACAGAAAATTTAAAGTTAAGTTTTTATTACATGAAGCTGCATGGTTTGGCAAAGTATATTTCGTCCTGAGAAAAACAGACTGATGGATTGACCTAATCGTAACACGAGGATTAGTCTTTAAAATTAAGTCAAGCGCACGAGAAGATATGCTAGGAAGCACAAGCTCTCCTTTCTTTGTTTACGTGGCAAACTGTGCGTTTTGTAAATACGATATGGAAGTCTTAATGAAGCTCAAAGTGAAGTAAAAACGTTCAAAAATATGAACACGATATTGAACTTTGTTGTTATGTCTTCGTTCACGCTAAAGCAGTTTACAAACTTGACACTTTAGGTTTGATAAATTCTTAATTCTGTCAATTTTCAATGCAATAAATTGTAAAAATGTTGCGAGGGTTTTCTGTCGGCTCAATTTGCACTAATACACTCCTGAACAGAACGTAGTTTTAAAAACACAAATAAAATGCTATCGTTTCATCAGCGAGAAAACCGGCGCAACTACTTGCGGGTCCCCAACAGGGTTCAGCAACTTTTAAAAAACTGAACGTTGCTTCTCGGTTCAAATTCCTTGTTTGACATGTTAAATAAGCACTGCTGCTAATTTCGGGTCGTCATGGCAATCTTCTACTCCGTTGGACTTTTTTTTTCCTTACCTAGCTTTCTTCTTAACCAAAGAATAACTCTCTCATAGTATGCAATGCTTTTCCTTAAATTCCCCATACAGTGATACGCGTTAGCAATACTTGCACTGGCTTTCGCTGCTCTGTCCCCATCTTTCAATACCTCAGCCATCTTCCGTCTTTTTGAGTGATAGTATATGGCGCTTTCAAAATCCTTCTGCATCTCGCAGACATTTCCAAGGTTATTATAAAGCCTTCCTTGGGCTCTTAAGTCTTGAAGCTCCTCAGCGATAGCTAAACCACTCTCTAACAACTCCGCCGCTTTGTCAAAATTTCCAAGTCTTCTGTAAACGCATCCCAGATTACAGTAAGCTCTTTGTAAATGAATTAAAGAGCCTTTGCGTTTCACAAGATTAAAATACTGCTCGTAGTAATATTTTGCAGTTTCAAACTTGCATAATTTGTAGTACGCATGTCCTAAGTCTAAAAAAAGTTTTTCTCTTTCGGGTTTGTTGCACCAAAGTTCTTGAAGCTGTTTTTCGAGATCAACTATCAACTCCTCTAACTCTAATGTAGTATACGGGACGACTTTTAATTCATCGTCTTCTTGTCGAATTATCTCCCTCAGTTTGTTGGTTTCGGGGTTTTCATCTTTAGTAGTTTCTTCGTCAACGTTCAAAATAATATTTTCTCTCTCATCTTTTCCTTTTTTTGACCCCAGATTTTTTCTCCACTTTCGAAATTTCGAGCAAATGCTAGAACCCATGATTTCAGTGCTGCTTTATCTTATTAATGATTTAAGAGGATGTGCCTTTTAACGTTTATTCTGCATTTTAATTTGACATGCCACCCGTTAGCATCATAAATTTCTCCCTCTACAACTTACATTAATTATACGTGAATGTTTAATGGGCATGAGAAGTTCATAACATTATGATAAACAAATCGGACGCTTGATGTTAACGGCTACCCTAAGTCCGATTTCCAGTCTCCGCGCGACTTAGTCATCGGAACCAACATCTAATGTATTTGCTTCGTGTAGTGATCGCTTCAGTCCTTGGATATCCTTTAAGATTGTTGTGATTAGCTGAGGTACTCAGCTTGGGTTTTGTTTCAAAACTGGATCAAGCAAATATCACTTTTAAAATATCAAGGATTCAATTCATGGAAGGAAATACTAACCCATTGCAAGTTAAAAACGTAACCACCGTCATAGCTAATCCTATCCTCTAATATCTCGAAATAAGAATACACCCTCTATTTTAAGTGAAACTAGTAAATATTTTAACCATTCAGGAGTTACAGGTACCCTGCGAGCAGAGATTTTTCTTTTGCATCCCGCTTATAGCATTTACGAAGTCGTCCGCGTGGCTTGTTAGTCGCGTAGTTGGTTTGTTTTCTCCCTGGACGGACAAAACAAACCAACTGCACGGCAGACAACCGACGCGAACGACTTCGTAAACGCTAATAGCGGAATGCAAAAGAGAAATCTCTGCTCGCAGGGTATGCTAGAGGTTGCATGCTAAATTTTTCAAACTTACTTTTACCTTTATACGAAAAATGTTTAAAAAGCACTTAATTTGGAGCAATTGACAGTGATCATTTTCATCACAAAATGAGAACGTTTTGCGAGTTTGATTGTTCGAGTGCATTTGATTCTCGCCAGAGAGGTTGGGTCGCCTAATAGGTTTTTTTCTTGATAATTACATACGTCTGTATCGATAAATAAAATACTCTTTCCTCAGCCTAGTCCCTTGGCGTTCTCTCTTGTCTAGTTGTCCGCGCGAAGTCTGGGTAGAGTCCAGAATTGACCGCACCGAGAACGCCTGAGGACTAGGCTGCTGTTTTCTTCCTTAAGGGCGATTGTCGAATCTGGTATCCTTATTGCGTGCTTGTCGACATTCCGGCTTGTGAACTTTCCAGTGCTGTTTCTGACATATCCTGCCGCAATACGATACTTTCTCACAGCCCAAACATCTCTTTAAATCGCTTTTATGTATTTGACAAAAGGCACATTTTGGCACTTTGACTGAAGCTGTCCCCTGAGGAGGGTTACAGTCGGAGGCACGATCATGCTCGGTAGACCAGGGGTCCATTTTTCCACTGTGCAACAAGTTTTTTGGGAGCTCAGAACGATTATCTTGAAAAGAGTCTGGTGTAGTTGATGTTGCACTTAGAGGCACAACACAATTGTTCCTTTCCTCGTCCTCCTTTTCTGTGACATTAGAAATAGAATCAGCATTAGAAAAATTTTCATTAGATATGACAGAACACAAAAATATTTTTCTTTGAATAACACAAGTTTAAATATTACAAGATGAACACCACAAAGTAAATAACCCCGTAATTGTGAAACATTATTAAAAGTACATGATGAAATAGCAGGTTTGTAGCATCTTTCAGGGAGCCTGAGCAAGAGAGAAATAAGAAATCCTGGTCAAGGAAGCAAGAGATCTTTTTCATCTAGTTACCAATTACATTCCAAAAAGATTTATCGACAGGACATTCCTGAAAGAGGTGTAAAAGAGTTGCCTATTAGAAATCATTCCAGTTTTGAAAAGGAAACAGTTGATGATTTTCTGGGCAGAAGTTTTAATTGAAAGGCTCATAGTTTAGGTTCATTGGTGTATAGTGAAGGCCACGATGTACGACTTACCCCAGTCTGTCGTGTCAAAACCACAAGAAATGCAGTCTGCAAGCCATTTTTCCCGACTTTTGCACAGGAATGAGGTACATTGGGTCACAAATAGTTTGTAAGTCAATTTACAGAAATCTCGAGAGGTTAACATGCTTTTGGTGTCAGTTTTATCACTTCTCATTAGGGCAAAATAATTTTTACTTTACAGATTTGAGATGGCACATACTACGCCGTGACAGATACTGATTATTGTTTCTTTGAATACCAATTTTTAATCTTACAAGATAAACAAAAACTTGTCCCTAATAATAAAACAAATGCCTCTTATAATAGCAGGAAGATCTCTTAAAAACTCTAAGTTAAAGGCGTTTGGTTTATTCCGTTTTGTGGAGGTGAAATCGCACTGTGTGAA